TAATTTAATCTCTAAAAGCATTTAATATATTTATATCTAACAACAGTTTGAATTGTAAAGTAAAAGCCATTAATTGCAAATATTTGCTGTAGGACCTTTTTTCTCATGCTCAGGCTTTCCAGATTTCCTTATTGATTTTTTCATTTCTTTGCAAATTAGTCGGAATTTGAAGAACAGAATAGAGAAAAGATTCCAAAGATTTTAAAAAGAAACTGACGTTAAATAGTTTAAAAGATTGATTAGATTGTTGACCAATTTTTTAAAAAAAAGTCCTTTACTCGGAGAAAGTCCAAAGATTAATAGTTTCTTTTGTAAAATAATAATAATAAATAATAATAAATAAATAATAATAAATAAATAATAATAAATAAATAATAATAAATAAATAATAATTAATAAATAATAAGTAAATAATAATTAATAAATAATTAATAAATAATTAATAAATAATTAATAAATAATTATTAAATAATTAATAAATAATTAATAAATAATATTAATTAAATAATAAATAAATAAATAAATAATTAAATAATGAAAAAAATTGCATTTTTAAATGAAGTTAATTTATTGAGACATATTCAAAAATACCAATTTTTTCTGAAAGAAGTGAGTTGATTAATTCGATGAGACGATTAAGATCAGGAATTTTTTTCTTTTTTCAATTTAATTCTTGTTAACTTGAACCAAAGATCAATTTACAAAGGAAGTCATTTTATTAATTGTCAGTATATTAAAACCAAAAGAAACTTTAATTAGTTATCTTGATTTTAAATTCCCTATAGCTAAACTGACAGTAAAGCAATATTTTGAAGTTGAGTTTTAATCAAAAGCAATTTTTCCTTTTAAAAATAGAGATTTGGTAAAATAATCAAAATTCACCAGAATATTCAATTCCAAAACAAACTGATGTTTTAATGCACAAAATTTTTATCAACACAAATTATAAATAAAGATTCCCTTACACGATATTATAATAAAAATGCAGAAAGAATCAATCAGGTCAACGTTGAACTACAAAGATCATATAAGTTTGTTGCAACTTTAATTTGAACTCTTAAAAATAAAAAATGGAGCAATTTTTGTGTACAATAGAGTGCACCTCTTAGCACCCTAATACCAGAAACCCTCCATCACGTCAGCGAGTGCTGCTGATTATGAAATCACTTGCCGAATTTTATTTTTAAAACAAAACCAAAAAGTGTAGAAAATTGCTAAAGTTTCTTTTTAGAACATTTTTAAACTCGTTTAAAATAAAAAATTAAGAAGGTGAATTGAGAGAAAATCGGAAAGAAAATTAAAGGATTTTTTTCTTCTGTAACTTGATTATAGGCTTAACTGTATTGAGATTTATTTCCTTTTTTGTGTCATTATATAAAATGTAAGTTAAATTAATTAATTTTGGCCCTTTTTTGGAAATTTTACTATTTTTTTATCAGATTTAGCTGAATTTTTAGAATCATCTTTTATGTCTGGCTGTGGTGGGGTTGAAGGCTCATGAAAATAGAGCTGCAGATTCCTGCAGTAAATTCTGTTGCCAAACTTGCCGCAAATTTTAGAGATATTATAGTTTATAGAGTAACGTGCTAAAATTTTTTAACCATATTCATCTCTCCTCTTCCTCTTTTAAATTTTGTTTGCAATAACAAAGCATAATTTTTCCTAATCATTGTAATTTATTGCACAGTATATTCCTAAGCATAATAATTTATACATAAATAATGAGTTATGTGAACATTTTTTTCAAAAAATAAAAACAATTAAAAATGTCATTTGTTCATAGAAAATGAGCATATACCATTGGAACAGTTTAAATCGGAGTGTTATAATATCGATTTTAAATACTTCGCTAATATTTGTATATGTCTCAATTTTAATGTATACATGCGAAAATAAAAGTTTTATCATTTATGTTTGTATGAGGTTTATCTCTGAAGTATTTCAATAAAAAGTGATTTAAATTTAGAAACAAAAATTACATGTGTATTTATTATTATTAATGTTCAAACATTTCACACTTTAATGATTTTTGTTTATTTCAAATATTTTTCTTAATTTTATGTCTTCTTATTTTATTAAAAGCTTAGTAAAATATACATTAAATTATTAATTTTGTAACACTACATCATTTTTTTCTCTCAAAATCGGCAGTTTATTTTAAAAAGCTTCAATACAGGCCGAAATAATGCTAAATGTAATAGACCAAAATTTGCTAAATGAAATGCTTTTTTTCTAAAAAAATGTATATTGTAAATGCAAATGCTGTTCGATAATGAAAGGAAAATGTAGATACTGTAAATTAGAAAAAATAATAACAATATTACTAGACCTGACGTAATATTAAAATCTTATTAAAAATAACAAAAAAATTCCATTTTTACTGCAAACAAAAGAAATTTAAGAATTTTTGGTAATAATTTATTCTGATTAACAGCTAAATACACAATACAAACAAATTATTATTTTTTTTCTTTTAAAAGCGTAAGGTTGTATTTTCAGAAGCTTCAGTAAAGGCCTTGGTAATTATTATAGCTTGATCTTTTTTATAATAAAGACAATAATATTTCGTCTAAACACAATAATTTTCGTCTCTCATATTTTCTTGCTGTGAAACGATAGACGAAAATGTGGATACAATAAAGAAATTAAAAAAAAACGTGAATAAAAATAATAGTAATATTACAACACAAGTCATAGTAAAATGTTAATAAAAAAAATCTTATATACTTTGAAATTATATGAATAAATTATTAAAACTTATTTTTACCCAATTCTGCAACAACAATCTTAAAAATAATTTGATTTACTCAATGTTAAAATATATAAAGAGAAAAAAAAGAATTATAATCCTGATGTATTGCAATATAAAGCTTGTTACTAACAGGCTGTTTAGAATCATTGCAATATATGCATTGTTGTGTAATATAGTTTCAGTCCGTTTAGTGAGGAAATTTTCAACTACTCTCTGATTTCAACACAAGCCGATGAAGGCTGAGGTTTTAGGTTTATTATTTTATGGATAGGATTTGCTTATCGAAATTTTATAGCACTATACAAATGTAGAATTTGTTTGAGTTGCTTAGTAAACTATGTACCTCAGGACGTGAGTAATTTATTAATCTCTTTTCATCAAATAATTGTTTGTTTGAAACCTACATGTATTGTAAAGTAAGATATAATTGGTTTTGAACATATTGTTCAGTAAATATTTTCTTTAAGATATAAATGTTTTTGAAGGATAAATAAATCAATAGCATTTAAGTGCTCGTAACAAAAATGAGAAAATTCAGCAAATTATAAAGAAACACTCTTAAAATTTTGGAGATCATTGAACCATTCCAGTTTATTACAATCTTAATAAAGTCCAATGAGGTGACCCGGGTTCGAATCCCAGTGATGGCTGGTCGATATGAATTGCTTACCATGCTCGCACTGACCACAGTATTGACGCACTGATCCCTAATGGTAGACGGATCTTGGGCTAAAGTCCCCTTATCATCAGGCCAACCATAGAAGTTCGTGGTTTTCCTCCCCACAAAACTCAAATGGGGGTTAGTTTCATCAAAAAAGTCCTCCAGGATGGCAAATTTCTCCCAATATTTGATCCAGTTCCCTTAGTCTTCTGGATTGGGTTCAAAATTACGAGGCTAAGGTGTTGAACATTGGTAGTCGTAAACTCAAAATTGGGTAAGCTGTTTAACGACAGTTGTTAATTAAAATCTTAATATGGTGCTGAGTTGTATTGTATATTTTAAACTTATAATAGTCGTAATATATATAATAACAGAATAATTATATTTAATAGCGTAATAGCTGCATCATAGTTTAATTTAGTACCTTATTAAAGAGGACAATAATAGAATTAATGCATTGAAAGCAATAAATAAAATTTTGTAATTCAAAGTTCAAAAGGCAAATTTACTTATTTAATGAAATTAAAAGAGCCTAGTATTAGGGTAGGAAATTTGACACTTGTAATATTATGACATTCTAAAGCTGTTTAGATAACGATTTTCACAAGCACTGGGTATCAAGACTTTAATGACTACAATTTTCGCTGCAAATTACGAATTTTAAATTTTTGCTCTAAAATTATATTTACCCATTCAATATCTACAGAAAATAATGGAACAGCCAAAGATGAACCTTTAATTTTTCATATTATAATTTATCTACACACAATTTTACTCATTTACCCATCTTACAAATGCAGATGAAATTTCTGAATTTCGAAATATCTGTTTGATTTAAACTTAAAAATGTGAGCATAGAGGAAATAAATGTTTAATTTCAGCATAAAAGTTATTACAGTTAAGGACGTGGTTCGGGTCTAAGCTGCTATTCCATTCTTTTAAATAATTAACATATTATGTCAATGATATGAGAAGAATATATAGTAATAATTTTAGTATTCTTTAGAAATTTATCTAAGTTAAGTCTATTACCAGGGTTGAAATAAATTAAAGTCAACGACACAATTAAATGCATGTACTGAGCCAATGTTTATAGCTCTACTATAGTGATATTTAAAAGCAGAAAGAGGCAATTTAATATATTGCTATAGATATCTTAAATACACAATATAAAAAAATAATCAAATGGAGCACTATTCTTTCGAAAATACATTCGAAAAGTTAGAAGACAAATTTATTAAATTGATTTTAAAATGTATGCAAGATAATGGTAATAGAGAACAGTGATTAATCACAATTTAAACCAAAATAGTTGATTAATATTATATGTATGATAAAATAAATGATTGATAAGTATGTTAATAGTAGCACCTAACATCCGTACTAAAAAATAGAGAAAAAAAGGCAATTTTTTTTGCAGATTTATCTTTTATCTAAAATCGGAATAATTATTTAACGTTTTTTTAAATCTTGAAAACAATAGAGATACACAGCACCGTGATTATCTTATATCATAAAAAAGCGACTCAGCATAAAACAATAGTAGAAGATAAGAATGAAACGAAAATACAATTTTTGTAAATGCCTTTTGCATTTCATCGATGTTGACACAATCTATTATGTAGAGGTGAAGTGTGATAAAAGTTTATCGTTTTTAAATATTAGCGTTTTGCTCAGAAAACAGTTAAGAGTATAGTTTTTAAGTTCGTGCTTCGATGGGTACTGGAGAAGAAACCGAAAGTCTCGTGTCGCAAGGACATGATACCTCCAAAGGATATGGAACTCTTCCAAAGAATGAACCAAGTGATCAGTCTGTACATCAAAAAAAGAAAAGGTATCGTTATTTTCTTCAGTTGTAAATATATGACTGCAATTATGGGTCAATCAAATTTTACTTACAAATTCTGTTCTCAGAAGAAAAAGAAAATTTAAGCGCGTATATGTTTGCTTAACATAATGTACCTGAGAACTATATAGTGTTCAAAATAAAAGACGGGACAGTTAAATAACTTTTTATACAAGGATAAAATTAGCACACATCTTTTTAATTTAATGAATAACCCTCAAATATGCTATTTCAATAATTTTAGCTATTAATTAAGTTGCGGAATCAGACAATAAAACGCACTTTCTCTGAACCAATATGCACTCTAAAAAGTAGGTTCAGCAGAAAATTTCAGTTAGCTATCTTATCAGTTTTCCGCTGTAAATTGTACAGAAAAATTTTTTTAAATTGATACAGAATTTATCTGTATACAACAAAATTCCTCCGTAGTATAAGCAGAGAAAAGATATTAACAAGTACAGCACTTATTTGTGCTATAGACAAAGGAATCCTGTTAACCAATACAGACTTTTTCTATTAAAAAAAAAAATAGAATTTCTCTGCAGTATATAAAGAGGAATTCTGTTAGCCATTAAAGACTTTTTTGAAGAAAACAGAATTTCTCTGTAGCATATACAAAGGAATGCTGTTAAACATTACAGACTTTTTCTGTAAAAAAATACAGTTTAGTAGCAGCACTGACGGAAAAGTACTAATAAACATTACAGACTTCTTCTGTAAAAGGCAGGATTTTTCTGTAGTACATACAAAGGAATACTGTTAACCATTAGACTTTTTCAGTAAAAGAAAAATAATCATATGTAGTACCGACAGAGGAATCCTGCTAACCAATAGACTTTTTTCTGTAAAAAACAATATTGCTCCACAATGCAGGCAGGGGAATACTGTTAACTAATAGAGGTTTTCCTTGAATGCATCACAGATTTTCCATAATATACTAACAGAAATGTTATTAAAGAAATTCTGAAATACTTAATTCAATAAACTTCTTAACAAGCTATTAATCACTGGGTTAAATTTTACTTATCCTTCATTTAATTAGATAAGTTTCTAACGAAAAGCACTTTTATTTATTTTCTTTTTGTCAAAATAAAAATATTGTAAAAATTTACTATAATTGAGTGTAATATTGCTCGAATTAACCAGAAAATTCGAGCATCAAAGCACAGACAAATAAATTAAAGACGATAATTATGCAGTCATTAAAAATAATGAAAGTAGTATTCATTTACCACTTTTATGCATAAATTATCATGCCACTCAATATTATGATATTTTGGCAAAAGGATGTTTTATTTTTACAAATAAATTAATACATAGAAGATTCTTTTTTGTTAGAATCTTATCAAAATAAATGAAGGCTAAATAACATTCAATTCGGTGCTTTGAAACCTATTCTGAAGTTGACAGATTAAAGGATTTCAGTATATTTTATTGCATTTCCATCTGGCATATAGACAGAGGAATTCGCATGAATTTTTAAAATTTCATTGTAGTATGGACAGGAAAATCCTGTTAAATTGATGGACTGTCTCTTACTGGATTCATCCTGTTAAATTTATAGAATTTCTCTTATTCTGTTAAATTAATAAAGTTTATCTTACAAGGTATATCCTATTAAACTTCCGAAAAAATTTCTATACATAAATCGCAAGTTTGATTTGCTGTTGCAAAAGGAAAGTTTTTTGAATAAGTATTCTGTTTAGCCTATATCAATGGTAAAATCCTACTTATAAGAAGAAAAAACTTGATCATTAGCGGAAATGAATAAAAATTGTTACATTAAACTTCTCCTAATTATTTTTTGATGACCTTATTGATACGAAAAAGTACTACTAAGTTCATCATAACACAATTTTTAATATAATGCATGCTTTGAACAAATGTAGTTTAACATGTTTTTATTAGCTTAATACGAAATATTTGTTCATATACTTTTAGTCAAAGAAAAAATTAATTTTGAGAAATAGCATAAAATAATTGAGATACACTTTCTAAATAATTCGTTCCTGCTAAAGAATTATTAACCATTTTGAAATCATATCTGGGAAAAATTAAAAGTAAAAAGTCATAAAAAAGTTATAAATAAAATCTATCAAAAATTTTTCACTTAATTATAAACTTTTCATACTGAATAGTAAAAATTGTTGATTCAAAATTATTCTGTTATTGACATAAATCTGTTCCATCATTATTTTTTTATTTCAAACAACTGTTAAGTATTTGCTTCTAATTTTATTAAATGCGCATAATGTTGAGCTGTTTTCTGCGAATGTTTTGTATATGATTCTATTTCTTTCTGGTAAATTTAAGCTAATTTTAAAAATCTGAAGGATTTTTAATCCTTCCTTTTACCAACAATTTCAAAGAATATTCACTTTACAAAAACAATACTTGTTTTGGATGTTTTAAATTGCAACTAATTATAAATTTTGGTATTTAATTAAAGTATAATATAGAGATTAAGATTAAAATATAGAGTGGGTTCAACAATCAGTGGTGCCCAAAATATATATACTTTAATGACAAAGATAAATCATAAAAACTTAAGCACTAAGGACAACAATAAATATTTAAGTACAAAAATTGTATCTAATTCTAAATAGATAAACAAATAAAATTAAACAGACCAAAAGCAGGTTTTAATTACGTAAAACTAGCTTTTTTTTCTTAAAACAAAGATGTAAAGTCGTTTATCTAATAAACTACATCAAATAAACTGGTTTTTGAAAATTTAATTCATCCATATCATTGATTGTTTTCGATTTATTTGTCACATTTTAATAATACTGATACTTCTCATTTAAAAAATAATTAGAAGTCCTTTATGTGTAAGTTTTTATAGCTTCATTTTTGTCAAGTTCATTTAGGGATAGTAATTACGGAAACTCTGTATTCGTAAATAAACTGAAATGTCCAAAGAAGTGTCTTTATTTTACTATTTATTTGCAATATTTTATGTTTCGAATATTCTGCAATAATTGGTTTGTAAATAATGAAGCGTTTCATTTCTTTTATTTTCAATCTAAGTCATGTTTATCGTTCATGTGTTAGCTTTATTTCCTTTGTTTCAAAGTGTTGCTTGATATTTAAGACAAAAAGCATATAACAATGGTAGGGAAATAAATTAGATTAGATAAAAAGAAAATTACAAATTGTTTACAGAGTTAAACTTTTTCAATGGTTACTTTTATTTCTGTTACTATTTACAACTTTTTATTTTGTTTTCAACTTATAAAATCTTATGAAAGCGAAATAAAAGTTAAAATAAAAAATGGCTAAAAGTATTAATCAAATAATTTGCTAATAATTATATTTTAAAAATGCAAGCTAAGTAATATAACAGCATTTATCTTGTTAGATGTAATTGAACTAAGAGAACAGAATTAAATTTAGAGATTAAATTAAGATTAATAATCAAAAATAAAACTTTTCGAAATGTATCATGTAAAACAAGACACTTCAAATAATTGTATTTATTAACACATATATTTTTATGTAAAAAAATTTATCTAAATCGACAAATAACTGTTTTTGATGTAATATTTTATTTTTACACTAAATATTTTGTTATTATAAAAGGCATCACTATAAAGTTTGAGAGTTTAAATATGCATATTTTTACAATACTGTTAGCTATTATTCATTATGTCTTTTCGCACCTTAACCAGATTCTTTAAAATCGCTATTATTAATGGAAAAAATATATCATGATTTTATCATGGATATAAAATTGAAACTAAAAGTTCTAACCATCACCTTCCAAAATATTATTATTATTGAAAATATTTTTAATTTTTATTTATTGTCTTGCAAGTTTAATCTTTATTATTCTTTTAGGAAGAAAGTTCAAATTGCCAAGGAAAAAAAATCTCAGAAAGAAAAAATATCACTATGGTCTTTGGTAAGAAATTAAATCGAATAATTTGCTTGAATAAAACTGAATAATTATTTTCATTTTGAAACAATCTCTAGAAAATGAAAATAATAAAAAACATTTATTATTTTTTTTGGAATTTTAATTCTAAAATTTGCAGCGAAAGTCAGTCATAAGTTTGTTTGGTCTGAATGTTAATAAAAACGTTTTGATATGAAATTCTTTAATTTAGGTTTATTGAAACCAAATATTTTTTTTTGTTCTTTGAAGATGAATTCGTCTTTAGACGCAAAGACTTAAAATATATTTCAAGCTAATGTAAGAACCGAATGGTAATGACAAATATGTTTCATTTTATAAAACTATTTTACATAGATTTAGATGCATACTACTCCTCTGTGGAAGTTTGCTTTAATTCATATGTCAATTTATTTTTAATGAAAATGGGTTCCCAAAATGTATGATTTTTTTGTTTCAAGAATACAGCTACAAAAAATAAGCATTAAATTTTTTTCCTTTACATGTTTATTGTTTTATAACTATAATTAATTTCGAAAACTCAACATACTTTAAAAAAATTTATTTAAAAAATCACGTTCTAGCAAATTAACTAGTAGATTTATATAATTTATTTTATATTATTGTTATTATTGAAAATTGAGTGCTTGTTTTTGCTTAGTTCGATTATTATGGGAAATTTAGTGCTATTTTTGCTCTTGATTTCCATTAAATATATAAACTTGCAGAACACTAAAAGTTTTAAGTTTTTTCAATGTAAACTATATGTAAAAATATAGAACCAAGGAATTATATCTATTTTACAGACTAACATTAGACAAAGTAATCCGCATAATTCATCTAAATGGGAACTTTCCCTCTAAATTTAACAAAAGATTTTATTTTACAACATAGAATAACTCTCGAAAGAAAATAAAGTTTGTGATTAATTTATACCTTAAGTGAATTACAATGTCAAATTATGTGTATGCATTTATTTTTTATCATATTTTTTCAATTTTAGTTCTACTACAGTAAGCCATTAGATGTCTTTTTCATGATTTTGGGGACTTGCGCTGCTATTATAAACGGCGCTGGATGGCCTTTACTAGCAATTGTATTTGGATCAATGACAAATACATTTTTAACTCAATCACCTTCACCTGTTACAGTTTCATACTCGAATACCTCATTTTTCAATGATTCAGGTACTATTCAAATTTTTTTTGAAAAGAATGTTCTTTATGCTTTTTTTTCTTCATTTTTTTAAAAATTTTGATCCCATTTATGAAAATAGAATTAAAAAATTTTATAACACAAATATTGAACCAAAACTAATTTTCATTGCAAAGTGTGAGCAAAAAATTTAGTTAGCAATGTTGAATATTTGTGTTTGGCGCAATTTCTTTTCAAACACATCATGCAATTATTATGTTGTTGTTTTTCACGCAATTATAGAATGCAATTACTGTGCAGTTACTTTTAACGCAAATGGAGATCATTGAAATGGTTTTTAAATCCTTAATTATTAACGACGGGGTCAGGGCACTGGCCTTGCAACAGAAACTTTCTGGGTTCGAATCCCGTAGAAGGCATGGATGTTCTTTCCTTCTCTATACTATCTGTCCTTGCTGTGGGAGCAACGTAGGCCCACCTTATATGGTACCCCTGAAAGAGTGCAAAACAAATTGCTTCATGCGTTTTTATTATTAGTAGTAGCAGTAACGAATATCATATTTTCCTTATCTCGTGTGACACAACATTAAAATAGCAGAAAATATAAATGATCTATTTTGTTTTAAAATATATCTAGACATTTTTTAAAATAATTTTAATGAAAGCAATGTTTTTAGCGTTCTTGATTAAATTTTTGTTTCTCTCTACTAGCTTCAATGCAGATTTTCGGAAATCAAACTACTCCTGATTTTGAAGAAGTAATGACTACGTTCTCTTTATATTATGTTTACATTGGAATTGCTGTGTTTATAGCCTCTGTAACTCAGGTAAGTTACTATAATTATTATCTTAAAACGTTTTCTTATATTAGTTTTTAAGTTTAACTTTAGAATTTTCAGCTCATTATTTTTGGCAGATAAATTCATATTAGAATTAGAGAATATGGAAATATTTTAGATCGCATAATGAAATGCTTTTTTAGAAAGTATCAAGTAATATTTAAGTATATTTAAAGACAAAAAATTAATGACTAAATAACTTCTTATTCAATTTTTTGTATTTATTATACATGGTGTTTTGTAAAAACCACCCTTAATATGTATTTTAAACTCTTTATCAAAACAAGGCTCTTTATCAAAACAAACTCCTTATTGAAAACAAAGATTAGATCGTAACAAAACAAATTGCTTGTTAAAAATGTTAACATAACTGTTTTGTATAAGTTGAATAAAATTTGACAAGTAATTTTAATAGTTTGTGTAAAATTTCTTATTTCATAACATTACGAAGCAACGGTTTTCAAGAATCATCATTAACTATCTTATTCTAACTTCTAAGAATGTTTCATTTAATTTATGAGATTCACATATTGCACTAACTATACTAATCATTATCATTTTCAAACATACAATTAATTTAGCTTGACCCTTGGCAAAATAATTAAAATAAATTACATCACTTTCCATCAATTACATCACTTTTCACTTCACTCACAATACCATACCACCGATTGCTTAGCAATAATTTTTATTTCTTAACAGTAAACAGATTGTAGCATCAGAATTAAAAAAATAAGCAAATTTTCTAAACATTTTATAGTATTAACATAGATTTAGTTTCCTATTCTATTGAGATAGAATTTAAACGCATTAAATTCGCTTGGTTACAAGAGAAGCTTCACTCACAGAGTTGCTTTTTTTTTAAAAAAAATTTGTATTTAGTTTTCGGTTACTATAAAAACTCATTAAATATTTTCTGCCAAAGAGATTATTTCGCACAGGTGTAATAATTAAATTTTAATTGTGATCTAAAATTTAGTTAATTTTTGTTCATGATTTTATTTGCGTATCTTATTTGAACACATTTTAACATAAAATTAGTTATAAAAGTAAATATAACGTGTTTTTCGTCTTATTATTGTAAAACGGTAGTTAAATACCCTCACTATAAAATGGTGCATAATATTCTATAGCCAGAATTTCCGTAAAAACTGAGCTTATTGATAAATGTATTTTTAGCATTCTTGTCAAAAATAGAAATAAAAATTTACACACAAAGAGGATTTCAAATCAATATTTAAGAGGGAAAAAAACACTTTCGAGTCGGTTGGATGTAATAAACAACAAGACGGGTTTAATTGAGAGAGGAAATGGAATATAATTGAAAGATGATTATTAGAAACAGTTTAAAGTTTTAACCTGGTTTAATTTTTTTTACATACACATTTACGTGATGTGATTTGTCAGATTTCTGTGGCGTTTTTTATCTCTTTTTGCTTAACTATCAATTTGCGACCTTCAAAGTGTATACTTTTTATTGGTTTCATTTTTGGTAAACTTTTTAAAAAGACACATTGTGGAAAGTCTTTAATTTTGAAAAAAAAAAAATGAAAAGCGTAGAAATAATAATGTTTAACAATAAAAAATGATAAATAAATATTACAGTAAATACCATTATAACTTAGATATATTAATTTTATTGTGATGATAGCCAAAGGTATCTGGATAATTTTTGCTTATTATTAATAATCATATCATGTGATTTTTTTGTCCTATAAAATTCACAAAATAGTAAGATGACAATTACTTTTTAATGATATATAGATATAAGTGTGTTCTGAATGATGGTATAAAGTTCGCATTACATATTATTCATATTTTCTTTAAGATCTTATTGTGGATGATGGCTTGTGAAAGGCAAGTTTACATCATGAGACAAGAATTTTTCTACCAAGTTTTACGACATGAAATAGCATGGTTTGATAAAAATCAAAGTGGAGAGCTAACAGCAAAACTTAATGAGTACGTATAGTTTATAAGCAATTTTAATTTAATAAGAAATTAAAGTACTGTAATATGATTAATTTCTCATTGACAGCGATCTAGAACGTGTGAGAGAAGGGATTGGAGATAAATTCAGCATGTTAATACAGTTTGGTTCAACATTCGTTGCTGGATTTATAGTTGGATTCATTAAAGGATGGCAATTAACACTGGTTATTATGTCATTAACACCTTTATTAGCATTGTCATCTGCATTCTTAGGAAAGGTAAACAATACTGCTATTAATTCCTTTCAATATATAAATTTTGCAAACATATTTATGTAATGCTGAACAGCATAAATCAACATAATCAGATATACTACAGGAGGTTTGTTTATTAAAAAAAGTATGAGTTTGAATTTTATGTAGTGGAAATGAGCTATTAGTAGAATTTAAAAAAAATTAGCAAAAGGAACAAAACAGCGAATTTTTAAAACTGAAATTGTGATAGTACAATACACAGGGGTGCAATGATTCATATTGTACTTTACACTATTTTTTCGTTTTTTAAATTCCGTCTCCCTCCCCTCACCCCTAAAAAACAGTGAATGAAATCTCACCTTTATATAACTGAATTTATAGAGTGGCATTCCTAAAGTATGCTGATTTATTTGTGCAAATATTATCTTAAATTTGCCGACCGGTCTGTGTAGGAGACAGGGAACTGCCCTTGCATCTGAAAGGTTCTGGGTTCGAATCCCGGGTAAGGCATGGATGTTCTTTCCTTCCCTGTACTATCGGTCCTCACTGTGGGAGCGACGTTGGCCCCCCTAATATGGTGCCCCTGAAGGAGAGGCCAACAAAATCACCCTGTAAATTCCTGAATTGACGAATGTTAACACAGGTGGGAATTGGAAAAAAAAAATTCTAAATTCCGTATCTTTCGCAGACAAAGCACAATTTTGCGGTCAATTTTCCAACTTGAAATCTCGGTTTGCACAGATTAACAGTATATTTATAAAGAAACAACTACAGTTACGTGCCTTACATTTACGGCACTGATATAACTTTAAGCAATGTTTACCATTTTGCAATAAAGAATTATTAAAACGGACAAATCACTTAAACATTTTTAAAGTTATTAAACGTTTTCAAAAACCATCACCTGGGTGAACACTTAGATGAAAAATAGCAAAATCAATGAAAAATTTTCTATTTTTTGAAAAAATTTTATGAGCCCAGATAAGACAATGAAAGTGTAACTTCTTAAAAATAAATAAATCACGAACGCCCTTTATTTTATTTCATTTTCACAAAACTATGGATTTTTTATCGAGACATTTTGGACCATTTTTAGAATTAACAAAAAGGGCACTTTCTACAGATAAGTTAAAGTTCACTTTACAGTAACGAACAGCTGTTGAAAAAATAGCATATTATTCGCATAAAAGCGTTATTTAATGTGAACAGCCTTAATTATCATACTACATTTGAGGTCATTTTTACGATTGTATCCCTAAGATTGTTTGACAAAGGACCTTTTCCTATTTATTATTTATTGTTGCCTTTCACTATTTCTTTTAATATATGTTGCTTTTTCTCCATTTAACTATAGACAAGTTCTACAAAAATTACGAAAACCTAAAAACTCAAAATATTACTTTGAATACTTAATGATATTCAATTTATAATAAGCTAGTATGATAAAAATTAGGAAATCAGAAAAGGATCTTGAGATTTATAACTATTGTTTTTTGAAGTTAAATTAATTCTCTGCTGTGTAGTGAAATTCAATTAAATATTTGCACAATAGCTCCTAATTTGGCATTCGAAAATTTAGAAGATAAAACCAACTTATTTTTTATAGCTATTTCTCATAACTGTTTTATTACCAATGTTTGGTTCGTGTCTTTAAACTTTTTTTGAAATTTATGAGACCTTAGTAAAAACACAGAGAAAACAATTCTGATAAAATTATCATACCTGTATGGTAATGGCATTTCTGGTTCCAAAAAAATATAATTCTTGTAAAAAAACCAAAATATACAGTACTTAAACTATTCATTTTTTGATTTTTTTCCGTTTATATGGTTACGATTTACCGAAAACTTTGGTTCTCAAAATTATAGTTTTTATTACCATACATTTTGTAAAAATACAAAACTGAAAAGTAAGTTTGATCGAATAAATAGCTTTTATGCCATTTTCTAAGCTATTGCTATCAAATTATCAAATTTTACCGCATTAACTGCAAAGCAGCATTTTAATAAAACCATATTTCATTGTTAATTTTACCAAAAGTCAATACGAAAGACGTTTGGTAAAAGTTACCCTGATATTCCCATAGAACCAGAAACACTGTAAATTTTTACCATATTCTGGTAATTTTGACCATGCTTTTTTTCTCAGTGTAATATTCAATCTTACTTATTTCATCACGCGTTTAATTCAAAAGGATCATGCTTGAAATATTTTGTTGCATCAAATATTTTTAAAACATGAAAGATTCATATATTAAGTAATATATGTAAATGTTCATTTGTTTTACCAATTTTATTTTAGCTGGTAGCAAGTTCATCTGCCCGTGAACAACAAAAGTATGCAGTGGCTGGTGGAATAGCTGAAGAGGTTTTGTCTAGTATAAGAACAGTCACGTCTTTCAATGGTCAAGAGAGAGAGGTAAAGAGGTATAGATATCTATGGACTTTTTAACTCATTAATGGCCATAAAAGGAGACTATTATAGTTATTTCGGGTGTGTGTAGATCAGTCTTATAACAATAGCTATTATTAAGTTGTTCAAAATTAAAAAGTCAATTTTTACATCTTTCTTACCAAAATTTTTTAATTGAAAAATATATTAAAAGCTATTTTTCAACCAGATATTACTTATCAATTGTAGTAATCGGCGTGCTAATCGTTTAAGAATTGTATCTTTAAGCAATTTGTATCTCATTAACTACTTTAAAATAGAAAAAATGCTTCATATTGTAACAAAACCTTAAAATCTTTATTTCTATACCTTGAATGATGGTCGCGATTTGTACTTTCCCTTTAAGATTGCAATATTTTTGAAATAAAAATATCCTAAATCATTTTAAGATTGTTTAATTATTTATGATTGTTGATTCTTTTATTAATATGATTAGATACTACTAATAGTTAAAATTAAAGCAAAGAAATTATAATAGTAAACTTAAGGCAAGAGATCTAGATTGAATCATTAAAAATGTAATATTTTGTAAAAGTTTGATTTTCATATGGTTATGTTCAACTAAACAATTGGTACAATGCATTTATTTTATTATCTTACGAGTCTGTTATCAGTCATAAAATACTATTTTTATAGAACCATAAATTTAAGAATAACGTTTTGGATTCTGTGCCACTCCCATGAGATGGCGACACTAACAAGATTCCCCTTGGAAATCTGTAACAGCTTATAATATAAATTTTTGGAGTCTATTGTATGAAACATAAATTTTTTGATGCAAAAATAAATTTTACTGACGATTTTTTTTCCAATTTTTTTAAGACTCGTTCAAATTTTTTAAATTTTTATTTTAAACAGCTATTATATCATCTAGAATTTTTTGTAGAATTTTAAAATAAAAATATCAATTCAATGAGTTTTACTTAAAAAAATATATATTTAATAGTTTTGAAAATATTTTTGCGATAATTTTATGTTAGGATTGGATCTTTCCTTTGACAAAAACGAAATAAAAGATGTAAGGAATTCCGAAAGACGGAAAGAAAATTTTACCATTAATTTAATCGCTTTCTTAGATTAGTTCATATTTTATTTTTGTTGCATTTTTCCAATTTGAAATATTAGTAATTACCAAAATTTGAAACAATTTAGTTTTTTGACAAAATTTTAACTTATTTTATAACTTTAAAATTCATTACAATGAAAGGTTTGAATTCATTGCATTGATTCAACATCACTTATCTTCAGTTACAATTAGCACTATATTTGTATGTTTAAAGTCAGTATATTTAAAGTCAGTCAGTTACAATTAGCACTATATTTGTATGTTTAAAGTCAGTATATAACTTTTTCTGATAGTTCCAGCAAGTTGACGTCAATCCTAAAAATCGATGTCATCTTTTGTAATATGTTACGGTTGTTACGAATGTTTGTAGTGCCAATAGTTAAGAAATAAATTGTACGCCTTGGACGCATTCTGAGCACACATTTAAAGTCCCGTTAGTTATTAAGGCTTGAAATTGTATTAATTAAAAAATTATGAGTTAATTATCTATGGTTCCCGTGAATTGAGAAGAATATTGAGAACTACAAAGAAAAAGTAGAAAGTCTACGGTAAGGTTAAGATGAAAAAAAATGCTTATTTTTGAGTCTTATTTTCAAAATTTATTTTTTATTAAGAGATCACGACAGATAATTGAGTTTTGATTGGTAAAAATTCATTTAACAAATTAATAATAAATATAAAAATTTTTATTTGATCATTTAATATTTTCCCCCCTTTTAGATATCATGCAGCTTTGCTTGATGGCATGAATGTAGCTATTCGAAAATATGTTTACATGGCGTTTGGAATTGGGTTTACTTTTCTTGTTTTGTATGGCTCATATGCTGTGGCCTTTTGGTAAGTTTATTTTCAGTTCACAAAATGCATGGCGTGATTAATTTTCTGTCTAAAGTTTAATTCAATACATTATTTTTATACTTACTTTTTAACATAAATGAGAAAATTTTAGAAAGAACAGAATCACAAAAAGTGGAGAACTGCAAAGAAAATAAAAATTTCTTAGGAGTATGACACTAGAATGATGATAAATATTGAGTAGCTAAAATATGATTAATTTAGTATCAGAATTTACTTAATTTATTTATTTTTAATTTCAGCGCTTCCTTTTCAAAAATTATAAATATAGTCCTTGCAAGTTCATTTAAAATTAAGAGTAAAGATATTTAATAAAATTTTATTCTGGCAAAACAACTAAAATTTTTTTTTTAAATTCTTAGGTATGGTGCACAGTTGGTAATTGACGGAAAAATGACTGCAGGAGATGTTTTCTCAGTAAGTGAAGCTTTTATTTTAGTTTTCATGTAATGGCACTTAATTTAAGACTATTAAAATTACTTTTGAAATACCAGTATTGCAAAAATGAAAATATCTTTAAAAACCAAAGTTGAACTTTAAATTTTTTTAAATATATTCATAACTGTTTTGTTTAATACTTATTTTTATTATTCCATCTTTTGCTAACATATCAAGTTTTTGTCTTAAAGGTATTTTTTGCTGTAATGATTGGATCATTTTCACTGGGAAATGCAATGCCACATTTAACAACTGTTGCAACAGCTAAAGGATCTGCTGAGAAAATATTTGATATCATCAAAGCAGTAAGTTTCTTTTTAGCAATATTATACATGCTATGCATATTTTTCATTTATCATTGAGAACTATCGAATTATATTTAATTTACTTGACAAAACAATTAAGTTGATTAATATGCTTTGAAGCAAATGTAATTGCGAGAGCTTAAAAATTTAAAATCATTCCTATGTAATATGGGATAAGAAAAATTTTATTAATTTTTAATGAATACCCTTTAATTCTATTACAAGGCGAATATGATTAAAAAATTTATAAATCTGAATGTACATAGATATTTTTTAAGAAAATATTCTGTATGGAAATATGCAAATAGTTTAAAAAAATATATAAACATTAAACTCGAATTGGATAATTAATATTTTTTAAGGAAATCCAACTCTACTATCATTTCCTTTTTTAAAAATATATAAACATTAAACTTTGTTTTAAATTATTATAATTTTTTATAAAGAATTCATCTCTACTATACTTTAGTCCTACATTTCACGCCATTTGTGAAGGCATTGGTTTCACTAAGTTAGTTTCGAGATAATACAAAGTTTGGTAAACCGAACTAAGCCACTATGAAATATTTATATATTCACATTTACATTACAATTAAGGTATAAAATACCAACACTCAAGGCGCCAGTACTTTTTATCGTAAAATCCATTATTATCGAGAAATTTAACGGAATAAACAATCAAACTGCAAATTGTACAGTAATATTTAGAGTAAAGTTACTTTATAAATGTAAATTAACAAATATTACTGTAAAAATTACGGTATAAAATTTAACGGAGAAAATGGATTTTAGAGGAAAAAAAGTTCTACGGATGCTGCACCCAGATTGCCAATACTTTTATCGTAGTTTGATCCGGAATTTTGAATAGTGTAGTTTAACTGTGTTGTTGCTACTTAACTGTGTTGTAGTTGCTAATCTGTGCTGCAGTTTCTTAACTATGTTATACTTGATTAAATTTAGAAAAATATGAGAATGATAATGAAATTCGACAAATTTCAAGAGGTCAAAAATAAATGTCTATTCTTAAGACTTGTCAGATGAAGATGAGGAAAACAAAAAAGAAAAAATTGAAACATAAAATGTAAAGTTAACACCAAAAAATGGAAAATAAAAGGCGAAAAACCATGGCGTGTTGTAGTTGCTTAAATATGTAGCATGATAAATTAAGTATTAGGAACCTTATAAGAGGAGTGACAATAGTACAAAGAGGAGTTGACCTGAAATCTTTGAATCCTTGGTCAACCTAAAATCATTGAATGTGTTGTTCCAACTGTAGTGTAGCGACAATAACTTATAATGATTGTTCTTTTTTGCAGGTACCAAAAATTGATCCATATTCTAGAGAAGGCATACACCCAACCCAATTCACTGCAGACATCGAGTTTAATAATGTTTATTTCAATTATCCATCAAGAAAAACAGTCAGAGTAAGAAATATACATTATTTTATCAATGAGTTTGTCATTTGTTTGTCTTTCTATTTGAATCTATCTTTAGAAAGGGTGTTTCGAATTCAGAGGAAAAGGCATCAAAACCATGAAAACTTACAATAGGATATGGGGTTTCAGAGAATGAAAGTCACAGGCAGTTTTCGTTCTCATAGGGTGAACAACTCCATAAGATACTAAAAATTTGCTAACTAAAAAAGATTTATTTGAACAACTATTACAAGAGCTCCTCGAAGTGGCACCTGCTAATATCCTTGTACAGTGACGCAAAAACGATTCCCTGGCGAGCATGTAGATACAACGTGTGCTTTTGACGTCTGCCGAAGCAATGAAAATCCACGAAATGTTATAGGCGCCACGAAATATGATAATCCAATGATAATCCACGAAAGTTTATAGGCGCCACATTAACAAGTGGTTTACGATGACCCCATAGGAAAAAGTCACATATATTGAGATCCGGTGAAGGTTCACGGATCTCAATGTAAGCAAACGGTTCCACGCATCCAAGCCACTTCCTTGTGTATGTTATATTGAGGTTATATTGATTTAAAGGGTATAATGCGCAGAGGCACAATCATGTTTGAAACAATTGCATCTGCTCTTCAAACAGAATAACTTACAAGCGCTTAATTTTTGCAGCACAAACCTCAACTGATATACATCTCTAGATACCGAACATACATGCTTTTTCGCGATTTTCTGTCAGTTAATGTGGTTTGCGACCCAATGTTATATTGTAAACTTCCATGCCTCTTATGCCTCTTATCATCCGTCTAAATTCAAAGGCAAAATTTTGAAGCACCCTGCTTCTTTATTATATCTGCAAAATATTCTTACACTGAGAAAGAAAGTATGGTCAAAACTGAAACAATATGGTAGATTTTTCCATTTCTAGCTCTATAGAAACACCAAAAAGTTCGGTAAATTTTACCGAAGCGCTTTGGTAATGATTTTGGAAACATTAAAAGTAAAATATGGTTTCCTAATGTGTAATAAAATTCGGTAATTTTATCATGATTAAGATTTTTTATCTTAGATCATGGCATAAAAACCATTTATTAGCCAAAACCATTTATTAGTCAGTTTTGTAGTTTTTATTAAATGTGGGATTATAAAAATTATAATTTTGAAAACCAGAATTCCCAGTAAACTATCACCATTTGAATGAAAAAATTGTCAAATGAATGGTTTAAATACTAAACATTTAGGTTTTATTAACCAAATATATATATATATATACATATATTTTATGTATAAATGTTTACTAAATTGTAAAAATTTTTCAATTTATTTGATACATATTAAAATCATGAAAATCTTTATACTTTTTTGAAAAATTAGTTCACAGCAATCATTTAAAAAATCTGTTTAAAGTTGAATAATAACATTCATACTTCGATTCTTTCTATCATGCAAATTTGATTTAACTTCAGTGCGTCAAATTGAATCATATTAGTTGAATCATACTAGTTGAAAAATGTAAGTTGAATTGCATGACAAGTTCAAGCTACGTAGTAAATATATGCAGCATACATGTGACTGCCTAATTTACAACAAACAGAGCAATCCATTTAGAGAAATTTAAAGAAAGAAACTGGCCAAATGATTCGTCATTTCATTTAATATTTAGTACTCTCTCTTTTACGAGACAAAACATTTAAGCTCTCTTCGACGTGTTCTATTAGAGTTTCTTGTTTCTGAGTTTAAATTGTACTTTTTCGTAAATTGTATAGTTGTCATATATCTGCTTTCCATATTTTTCTTCACAATTCATTTCAATTTTCTATCAACACATTTTATCATTTCCTTGGATTTAAGCCTTGAATTTAAGTGAATGTTTTCCATAATTACATCTTTGAGGAAAATAAAAAATAAGGAAAGGTTAGCAAAAACGATGTTTTAATAAGGATACTTCACGCTTTGGTTTTATGATCGATTAACTTTTAAATTAGCTACATCCCAAAGTGACAAATAGACTAGTTGTCCATTGAGTTATAGGTAAAATCTTTTAAGTAGCAAAATCTTTTAAGATGCAATTTTGGGATTTAATTATATAAATGAACTATTGATTTTTTGTCAATTTTTTGCAGAATTATTTTTAATTTGATGCTTATTTTAAAATTTAGATCCTGAAAAATTTTTCACTGAAAATCAAAGAGGGACAAACAATTGCTCTTTGTGGTCCGAGTGGAAGTGGAAAGTCTACTATTGTTAATTTGATTTTACGATTTTATGACCCTAATAAGGGAACTGTGAGTAATATTTTTATTAATTAATGCATAACATATACTTTATAATTAAATTAAAAATTTGTATCTTGCAATTTGCGTATACCGTTTTTGTATGATTTTTTACTATTTGATTAAAAGAAATCATTTCATTTTCGTTATGTGCATTAAAGTTGATTTGGAGTTGAATTCCTTGACATCTTATATAATAAATAGTGATTCATTTATTTTTCTTTTGAGTACTTAAATTTATTTCCTGATTTCAAGATTAACTCAATCTATAATTCGGTCACATTGTCTCTAAAGATGATAATAATGTTTCAAACATTATTTATTTATTAACTCTTATACTTAGAAATGAAATTTTTAATTGGTTAATAGTAATTGAAAAAGCTATCATTTAGTTGACTATTGTATAAGACATATCTTTGCTGGCCTTTCTACGAGCCAAAGAAAGATGCTCCAGAAATTACCTCAATAAAGATGAATTTATTCACTGTAACGGAAAAAAATTGTTGCAGAAGAATTTTATTATGCTTCTGATTTTTTTAGCCCTACTACTTAAATTATTTTTATTCCTTTACAATATGCTAGATTACAAATTTTTAAATTATTACTATTATCCATTCTGATCAGTCGATATCTTATTTTTTAATAAACAATTTATAGGTAACGCTCGGAAATTTTGGACTTCCATCTCTTAATGTTCATTGGCTTCGATCTAAAATTGGATTAGTGAGTCAAGAGCCGGTACTTTTTTCTGGAACAATAGCAAAAAATATTGAATATGGTCATCAAGGCGTGGTATTTACTGATATTGTTGCTGCAGCAAAAATGGCAAACGCTCATGACTTCATTGTACAACTTCCAAAAGTAAGTGTTCAAAGCATATTTCTTAGAAATCTCTACATGCGAAAATAATGTTATCATTCATTTTATTCATAAAGATTCATCTTTAACATCAAAATGAATATATTATCGTCTCTACTAATTTGATTTTAACTATGCATCAAAAAATTATGCTTTCAGGGATATGATACATTAGTTGGAGAAAGGGGTGCTCAATTATCTGGTGGCCAAAAACAAAGAATTGCCATTGCAAGAGCTTTAGTTCGCGATCCGAGGATTTTACTTTTGGATGAAGCTACTTCAGCTCTTGATGCTGAAAGTGAAGCTATAGTACAACAAGCTCTCGATAAAGTAAGAGAGATTTTTTTTCTTTCATTAAAATATTCATCTTGTTTAAAGAAAGATGATTTATAAGACAAGTTTTAAATATATTTATCCACCCGTTTCAAACAATTACAAATAATTTTTATATTGGGTTGCGGAAAAATAAACCTAATTTGCTTTAAATAGTGAAATAATATTTCTGTTTTGATAATAAACTAAAACACAATTTTTTATAGTTATAACTCTTTAAATAAACAGTGATAATGGGCATTATAAAATAGAAATAATTTTTATGTTAATCATATTTTAATTAAAAAGCTTTATTCAAAATGCAAATTAAACAAACAAGTTTTCTTGCTCAACTTTAAAAAAAATTAATAATGGTTTCTTGAATGCTTATTTTTTTTCAAATTATGATATACTTTGAACTTTTAGATTACAAGCTAGAGTGTTTATTGTTAAAAAGTTATCTTCTAAGTCACTAATGTGTTCAAAGGTACAAAAAATATTTTTCTACTAATCTATAACTAAATATTTTCGAAATATGTTTTGCATTTAAAAATTAAAGGAATAGGATTTCCAAAATTACAATCAAAAATATTCTTCGAGTTTATTTGATTAAATAATTAACAATAATTGTTTTTGTGAAACAAAAGATTTTGAAATATTTAGAATTAGCTTTTGATTAAACTAGTACAAGGGCGTTAAAAAAATAAGCAATGGACTTTCAGGAAAATGAAGGAGCTTCTATTGCAGAAGAAATGTTTTAAGTTAAACACAACAATAAGTTCAATTAGCACCTCTTTATTGCATATTCTTGTCAAAAAAGGAGTAAAAAGTTGGGGTCACAAATTTATATTCAATATTTTGGCTGGAACAAAACATAAGCGCTATAAAATACTTAAAATCTAATTAACAAAGAAGACAAGATAAAAAACACAAAAACCTTGTTTGATTGCTGGAGGAAACTAAACGAAAGAAAAACGCAATTATTATAAACGCTTTCAAATTTATCCAACAGTACATCTAGAAATTAATCCAGCTTTGAAGTTTTCAATCTTATATTTTGCATTTTTATTACCCCTTAATTAAAATCTAATATTTCCTTCATTTTAAACTGTAAAACCTTTAAAATTATAATTTTTTAGGCCCAAGAAGGGAGAACTACTGTGGTTATTGCTCACCGTCTTTCAACTATAAGAAATGCGGATGTTATATGCGCAATGGAAAATGGAGAAATTAAGGAAAAAGGGACTCATGATGAATTGATGGCAAAACGTGGTATCTACTACCAATTAGTTACAAATCAGATATTTGCCGAAGAAAATGATGTATGCTCATCGGAACAGGGTATGACAAACTTATATATTAAGGCTTGTTTATTATATTTTAAAAATATTATGATTTATTTAATTTGAAAAATCATTATTATTTGTATTATTATATGAATTATTATTTCTTATTAGTATTGTTAGATATCTGTTATCATTTATTTGTGTTTTTATGTGCATTTATCATTTATTTATCTTTTTGTTTTTACGTGCACTTATTATTTATTTGTCCATTTATAGTAGATTAATTATTATTCATTTGTCTATTTATATTTATATTCATTATTATTATTATTAATATTATTTCCAATATTTATTTTAAAATTTTTAATGTTACATATTTTTTTGTATTTTTATTATTTATTGCTTTCAAAAATGCAATATTTTTAAATGCTTTTACTTTTAATTGATTTTTGAAGTCTATTAAAAATAATTACTAACGGGTTTCCTTATAATACTTTGTAATAAATAATACTGTTGTTTTTTAAAGCTAAGAAAAATACAAAAGACTAAGTGTGGTTTTTTTCATTCTTCTCAACTTTTGATTTTTACTTAATCTTTTATTTTTAGAATGATTTAAAATCGAATCAAAGCTTTTATTTAGACTTTATACTATGTGTTCCATAAAAAGTGCCATTACATTCTTAAAAAAAACAATTTTTTAGTTAATGCATGCGTTACGGGAGGTAAAATAACTTTAGAGCAGCACTATTGCATTTCCAGCTTATACAGCGTATTCCATAAAGAAAGATCTTAATATGAATTTTTTGAGTCCTTATTAAATATGAAAACGAAAAAAAATATACACGTGAGAGATAGCAAAGTAATATTTAAGTGAAAAAAAAGTCGATATCAAATTCCTGGAATATTTAAGTATTAGGGGGACCGGAAAGTAATGTCGTTTCGGTGCATTTGATATTTCTCATTAAGATTTTATTTTTAAGCAATAATGTATTCACCCTCGTTCGCAACTAACCCTTCAAGGCCGGATCAAAATTTAATCGAAATGGATCGGGAAAAAAAGGACTTAGTTTGTAAGACTAACGAAAGTAATGCGCCGAAACCACATTACTTTCGGGTCCCCCTAATACATGAAAGCAGGTTTAATTGGTAAATTAAAACTTGGAGGTGTTTCTATCAATCGTCTTTCAACTTTTCTCTGTCTCCATCCGCAATGAAGTCAGCCTTGTTGTTTATAATATTCGTCTTCATGCACTGTGATTAGTCAGCTTTTGAAACAATATGTTTTCACGTCGGTTATAGATTCATTTGTGACTACCTCCCCCAATATTTATACTTTTTTTGTTTTCGATTTCAAAAAGTATTCTAAAAATATAAATTCAGGTATTCTTTACGGATCACTCAGTATTTTGTGTTGCAAAAAAGAATTGTCTGGACTAAAAAGCGGACATGTTTAAAATATTTACAAAATTTTTAAAATGTCACCGATTTTATAAAATCTTGTCACCTTAATCAATGAATTGTTATTATATATTGTATGTGACTCGGTAGTGATGTAACTTTTTAAATACTTAAAGTAAAGTAGGATCAAAAACGCTTTTCATTTTCAAAAACCTGTGGTTTGTCTTCTTATTGACATCTCATACAATTTTCTTATTTAATGTAGAGAGTGCTTATCGAATTTACATTATGAAATAAATATTACGAACTAACAACAGTTCTAAAAATAGACAGTCATTTCTAAAACACGTTATTTCATGAGACGGAAGATGCTTCTATGATATAGTAATACTTATTTAAACTAACTTAAATTATTTAATGGAGAATTTCTCGTAAAATTACTGTACTGCCTGGTAGTGGCATTTCTGGTTTTGAGAAAAATTTAAAAAAGCAAAAATCTGGTTAGTATAACGAAAATATACGGTATTTAAATAATTCATTTGGTAATTTTCCGGTTCTTATAATAACGATTTATTGAAAATTCTGATTTCGGAAATTACAGTTTTTATTACCCCACATTTAGTAAAAAATACAAAATTGAAAAGTAAATTTAACCAAATAAATGGTGTTTATGCCATACTCTAAGGTATTATGATAAAATTACTAAATTTTTCCACAATTACCAAATTTTATCACATATTATAAATCCTATTTGTTTGTTAATTTTACCAAAATCATAACCAAAGTGCTTCGATAAAAATTTCAGAGCATTTTGGTATTTCTTTAGAGTCATAAACATAGCAAATTTTTACCATAAGTAGTAATTTTGATCCTAATTTTCTTCTCAGTGTGATTATGATGAAAGTTATCTTGTTTAGGCAATTCTTGTTAGTTATGGTTGACGGTGAACTTGACATATACGTTCTATAGTACAGGGGAAGAAAAATTTGCATTGCAAAGTAGTTCCTTTTTCGACCTATCGGTGGCGCTTTAAATGTACGAGAAAGATCATTACACGATAAAGTGTATTAAAAAGTTAGTAGTCATTGCCAAAAAGCGTAAAATCATTCTGCAATATGCCAGTATGAATGAACAAACGTTGCTTTTAAAACTGTTCAATCAAAATGACAGTAATCTGTCAGTTTTGTCAGCAAGAATGTCCATGTTTGATAGATCTTATAAAAGGACTCATGCGAGACAGGCTCTAAATTTGAAAAGGCTAAGAGAAGTTTTTGATGAAAGACTTAGAGAAGACTTTGGGGACTGCTTCTATGGAAGATGCTTCTATGATATAGTAATACTTATTTAAACTAACTTAAATTATTTAATGGAGAATTTCTCGTAAAACTACTGTACTGCCTGGTAATGGCATTTCTGGGTTTAAGAAAAATTTAAAAAAACACAAATCTGGTTAGTATAACCAAATATACGGTATTTGAATAATTCATTAGGTAATTTTTGGTAATAAGAGCTTTTTGGTGAAAGACTTAGAGAAGACTTTGGGGACTTAGAGAAGTGCTGCAATAAAAAAAAAAGGCTATTTCCAAATAAAATTGAATGCAAGTACAAAGCGTCATGTTACTGCATTAAATGAAGATACAATTCCCTCTTTATGTTAGAGCATATAAGCATGCATACTCAAGCATACTCAAAGGCGACAAAAACTCAAGCATACTCAAAGGCGACAAAAATGAAGCACAAACCAAAAATGTGCAATGATTATATAGTTTTCTGCATTCAATTTGTGTTTTACGTATAAGCGCGTTCTTTTTATAACTTGATGATCAAAGTTTGAATTGAATTTTTTTTACTGCAGTTATTTTTTTCCCATGATCCAAGTTTCATGGATATCCGTCAACCAAAATGGACTATATGTTGGTTTGAACTAGGCAACATTCAATATTACGACCCTTCATTAAAAAATTATTAGATAAAGTAACATTACATTTTATTATTTGTACATTTTTAATTTTGAGAGTTTAAATAGTTATGACAACAACTATATAAACCCTCAGGGGAATATTACGTATCTCTTTTATAGATGTTAAAGTTGGTGCTGAATTCGATATTCCTGTAATGAGGAGAAAACGCTCAAGTGCTGCTAGAGCTATTCATGAAAGTCATAGACTGATTAGTCGGTTAGAAAGTGAAGTAAAGGAGGTAAAATAAATAGAATTATACTTCTAAGACTGCAGGATTTCATGAACAATTAGTTAAATGATTATACATATTCCATTTTCAGGAAAATGTGGATATACCTTCAGGCTTTCAGATTCTGAAGCAAAGTAAGCAAGAGTGGAAAGAAATTGTTGTCGGTTCTCTAGCTTCAATTGTGACTGGTGTAGTTATGCCCACGTATGCAATTTTTTACAGTGAAATTTTTAGAGTGAGTCAGTTATATATTTTGAGATAAATTCTTTATATTCTGTAACATATATTTGATTTTAAGTATTTCTTATTGTTTTCTAGACATTTACCTTGACGGGAAATGCTCTAAGGAAGTCTGCATTCTTTTGGTCCATGATGTTTTTAGTATTGGCAGTTGTAACAATGTTAGGTCATTTTTTTAGAGTAAGTTGAAAACATATGTATTATTTATTGGGAAAATTTCTATATCATTTATCACGCCAAATTTGTCACCAAAATAGGCTAAGAATTGGATAGAGGCAAGCGAGATAATTATTAAAAAAATATCAAGGAAGAGTGCACTAAAAGAAACCAACTTCGTGACAACTACTAATTTTCTTAATTGTCAAAAATGCAGACAATACTAAAAAGACAATTTTTACTTTCTTAATAGGCTGAAATATTATTTTTTTTCAATTACTTTAAAATAACTGAAATAAATATATCTGTTTAGTGAGATTAAAAATTTTCTTCTTTCTATTGAATTAATAAAAACATAATTAGAAACTGATTATAGACTAAGAGTTAGTAACAGCTGTAAACACTTTATAACGTCTCATTTTATTGTTTATATAATATATGAATTAGAATTGTAGAAACGTTTCTTCCAAATTAAAATTATTCGAAAATAAGTACCCCGCGACATAAATTACGATACATTAAAATTATATTATCTGCTCAAAAAATGTAAGGGAAACGATTCACTGCCGAAGAAATATAACTGATTTAACCTTAACCTATTTCACCAATCTTACTCTTTTTTTTTCAATTTAAATAAGTAAAAATTGAAAAAATACAAAAGTTTTATCTATCTTTCCTTTCATTTAAATAAAATTTTATACGTCGTTGCTTTTATTTCAACATTCAAATACTTTTTTTGAGTGGTAACATTTTCGCTCTTGTTTTCCGTACATTTTTTTCCCAGATGTATAAATAAAAATGAAATGTTTATTATATTTTAAAATAATATCCTCTATAACGTGTAGAGTGTAACACACTACTAATTTAGCTTTTAGCTCTTTTAGTTGAAACTCCTTATAAAAGTGCATGCAATAAAAAACAAAAAGAAAATATTAACGTCATTTTTTTACAAGATCACTAGACGCTTTGTTATAAAACGGTTTGGCATAAAATATTACCATTTTATAACTGAAATAAAAAGTAATAAACTTTTATTTTGTTTTCAACTGTCTATAATAAGTATAATTCCAATAATCCCAAAAGTATAATTCCTTTGCAACTTAAACGTTTACCTAAAAATAGAAATTTTTTCATAATTACTTTTTTATGTGAATATGATTTTTTATGTAAATAGATTTTTTAAGTGTATTTGGTGTTAAATCTTACATTTATGAAGTTAATTGTATTTGATCAATTTAGTTTTTTATTTAGGCTATAGGGTACTCTTTTGCTGGGGAACAATTAACTATGAAATTAAGATATAAGGCCTTTACGAATATAATTCGACAAAATATTGGTTGGTTTGATGATAGTCGGCATACATCAGGGAAAATTTCTACCAGACTTGCAACTGATGTGCCTATGATAAAAAGCGTAAGTATTCAGAGCCATTGTTAAGAAAACATAATAGCATATATATTCTCGAACGTATAAAAACCATTTGAGAGAAATATATTTTTGGACTTACAAAAAATTCTTTTGAAATTTTGAACCCTATAAATATTTGGAATAAAATCAGTTTAACCTATTTTATAACTCTTTAATATCCTATGTATAATATATCCTATGTGTAAATTTAACTTCCTTAACTCTTTTGCGATTATTGGGTCTTTCAAGTTATAATAAAAATTTAATCTTTAATAAAGATATTTTAGTGAATTTTGTAATTTTGTTTTCTTTAAAAAACAGGTTTCAAAATATTTACTCTGATTTTTGACTTAATAAAGCGGTTATCATAATTTTAGTTCTCATTTAATTAATAAATGCTCAATGAAATGTTTCACAAGCTATTAAACTTCAATAAATAAAGGACAATTATTGCTGACAACATCACTTACCACTGTTTTATCAAAAAGTAAAATAATAAGAACGACTTGTGTATTAACCGGTGTACCACACTGCACCAGGGGAATGTTATTATTTATTTATTTATTTTGAAAACAGAGTAAATAGCATATCCTTGAAAGAGTGAACAGATTCCGATTAAATCATCTTTTCGTTTATCATTTATTTATTCATTTATTTTTAACTTTTAATGTTATCTAATGTTTTTTTGTGTATACACAGGGTTATTCATAATTCCTTCCGGGGTTTCGAAGTGTTATAGTAAAAAAAAGAATACGAATATGAAAAAAAGAAACATGAAATTATTCCGCAACTATTCAAGTTTCACTTGCATACATTACAGGTGTTCTATACGTGAACCCTTGGTCACACGGCATACATCAATGCGATAGTCTAGTTCCCCCCGGGAGGGAATTATGTATAACCCTGTATATATATATATATATATATATATCAATNTATATTTATATATATATATATATAAAATATCAAGCACAAAACAAGTTTGAATACTAAAGAAAGTTTGAAAAAACCCTCAATTCTTTGATATTTTTTCTGCAATTTAGTATTTTTTTGCAAAAAATAAAGATCAATCTCAAATGAGACCCGCTCAATTAAATACAAAAAACTTTTTTTTTAGTACCGAAAGTGATTAAATCAAAAATTATTATAATTTCTCAAGAAAACAAATTCAAGTGTTCAATGTTTATCTCATGCTTTAATTATTCCATAGCATTTCATTTCATGCCACACATCTTTTTTTTATTGATTGATTAATTCTATTTATTAGATCTGAAAGTTATGTAGGAAATTATAACTTAATAAATTGATAAATTTTAGGCTGCTGGAATCCGGATTGGAACTGTAATTTCTGCTCTTGTAACTTTAGCAGCAAGTATAACTATAGCTTTTATTTTTGGATGGAAACTTGCTTTGGCCTTGCTTGTAGCTATTCCAATTCTTCTAATCTGTGGTGCACTTCAAATGAAAACAATGAAAGGAAACCAAAAAAGAGATGCAGAACTAATGGCTGATGCTGGAGATGTAAGTTTATAATCTAACTACAATCTAAAGACAAGACAATAATTATCATATAAATACATAAATAAATTTTTATACGTTTCTTATAATCATATATATATATATATATATATATATATATGTATATATATGGAGCATCTTTTATACGACGAATAGAATCGGTTATCCGTTGGTTTTTAGATTTTGTTCACGTTTATATAATTTTTTATTTTTTCTTGAGTATTTTAAAAAAGGGCGGAATTTGCCAACATGAATGATACAGAAAAGGGTGCCAACAGGAATGCTTGGATGACGACCGTAATTTTTACTAGATGACTGAAAAACTAGACAATGCTATGAAGAGGCAAAAACGAAACATTTTGCTATTCATCGACCAATGTCCAGCGCACCCATCGATACTAATTATTTTGGAAAATGTAAAAGCTCTCGTTCTTCCTGCAAATTGCACAAGTGCTCTTCAGCCATTAGATTTGGCAGTGATTAGAAATCTAAAATTGCATCATAGAAAGCAGTAAGTTCAACTCGCTATTCAAAGCATTGTAGAGACTAATAGCAGGAAAATATAATTAAAGGTAACATACATTCAAATTGCTCACTGCAATTTTTCTTCTTTGGTTATTTACTTGTTTTGCTTTGTCTAATTTAGAAATTTATGTAAATCAACACGCTAAACATTGAAATTAACTGAAAACAGAGTTAGTTTCAGTTTTAGATGTAAAAATCGATTATACGACGATATCGTTTATACAACGTTTTTCGGTGGTCCCTTCGGCGTCGTATAAGCGATACTCCACTATATATCAAGGAAACTTGCTTTCTTCAAGAGTTTAATGGGAACCCATGAAAGTCTGGAATGTTTCTAGAAAGTATGCATGACTTTACCGAATTTTTTTACAGTTTATTTTTAAAACTTTACTTCATACAACTTAAAGAAAAAATACATAATGTGCAAACAAATTTAAATTAATTTCAAAATTTTACACTTTTATAAAAAATGGAACCATTCTTTTAAGAAGTTGTTAAACTCTTTCTAATGGGACGCAATTTTTTTAGACAAAACTCGGACGTTCATTGATAGTTTCAACAAACTCTTACACTTTCTGATGACTACTCATCAAGCTAAACATACAATACATATTTTTAACTGTGTTACAGATAAGTAATTTGTGGTTCACCTAAATATGAATATACAAAGGAAATATTTCAAGTAAAAAAAAGGAAGCAATAAAATAAAATTTATTCAAGCATAAATTATCCTAAAATCTTTCTACATAGAAATGATGGCTTGAATACATTTTTCATAAATTCTTTTTATTCGAAAAATTGCATTTTTTTAAGATTTTAATTTAAAAAGAAGTCTTTTTATGAATATCTAATACGTTGATATTGCTTTTTTACAAATACTTCTTTTAAATTATACAGATTTAAAACTGAAGTTTTTAGAAACAAAGTAAACTGTTTTCGTATAATTTTGCATTAATTTTAGGTTGCATGTGAAACAGTTGAAAATATAAAAACAGTCCAAAGTCTTACGCTCGAAGAAACGTTTTATGAAAGATATGTGGGCCATCTTTTAATCCCATTTATGTGAGTATCTTATTTTAATCCCTGTGTTACACATCAGGTAAAAAGGCACAGTCTAAACTATTAGAATATGGTAAAATTTACCATGTTTCTTGCTCTATGGAAGCATATAAAAGCTCAGTAATTTTTACAGAAGTACTTTGGTAACTATTTTGGTAAAATTAGCAATAATGCATGGTTTAACAATATCTAAAAAAATTAAATAAATGTCGTGATAATTAGAGCACGGCTTAAAAACTATTTATTCGGTTAAATTTACTTTTTTGGTTTGTATTTTTTATTAAGTGTATAGTAATAAGAATGATAATTTTAAAAACAGGTTTTCCGGTAAACCATTACCACATAAATGGAAAAATTATCAAATGAACAAAAAATACTATATATTTTGTTTTTATTTACCAAAGTTATGTAGTTTTTACCAGAAATGTCATTACCATACAGTACGGTAACTTTACCAGAATTTTTTCCGTCGTGTATAATACAAGATTGATATTGTATTAATTCTGTTTTACTCATCATTTTTAACCCTCAATTACATCGATACTTTGCAAAAAAATATATTCTTAAAGTAAATCTTATTTTTCAGGGAAAATAAGAAAAATGCCAAAGTTTATGCCTTAGCCTTTGCAATGTCACAAGCAATAATGTTTTTCACCTATGCAGCAGCGTTTCGATTGGGAGCATTTTTAGTAGCTAGAAATGACATGGTAGCTGTGGATGTATACAGGTAATAATGGAATCAATTTTTTTCTATAATTTTCTTTAATTAAATCTATGCTCAAAATGGTTTTATACATATGTATACATGTATACATAAGTTAGTTTTATACATATTTAATTCCGTCGAATTTTGCTCTCTGTTTGTTTTCAGAGCAATAGCAAAATTGTTATTATTCAGTATTCTGTACGTACCTGTGTATAAAGTCTTCTTTAATTATGAAATCTCATAAAATGCATCTAATTTTCTAACTTCAATTCATAGTATTTTTTTAAATTATTTTGTATTTTGTTTTATAAATAAGCATTTTGTTCAATGCGTGGTGTATAAACACCTTCTAGTCGTATTTATGGTAATGTAATTAACTAGCACCCATATGAAAACCACCTTGTCATTTCACTGTAAACCATTTTTGTAATAGTATTTTAACTTCTTTCTCATTTTTGGCAATGCATGATGAAACTTTAAGACTTTCAAATGATTTCCCTTAAGCTTTAATATTTACCCTTACTATCTTTTTTAAATGATCATTTATTACAGAAAGCTTATTTACAGCATTGAATCATCTTGTTAAGAGGAACATACTTGTAAAAATGTATATTAAATCTTCACCTTCACTAAATCTTCATAAAAGGGGAAGAAAAAGACCATGGTCTTTTTTTAATTTTTCGCCATTTTAATTTTCGTGCTTATTACCTCCCACCAATTTCTGCCATGCATTTTTCTTTGCATTTCTCTCTACATTTAAGCAGAAAGGCTGAAGAAAAACTAAAATAGAAACATTAAAGTGGACTCAATAATAGCTTATCTGGACACTAAACAGAACAAACACTAAATATTCGAAATATTTTTGATAAATGCAATTTCATTGAAAATTCCTCTTTACCAAACGTCTTGAAAAGTTATCGTTAAACGAATATTCAATATTATTTTTTTACGAGCTCTGTATAATTTTAAGGGTTGTATTCATTCATTTTTTATTCTTTAAAAATAACGAGAGGGAATGAGGAAGGGGAAATAATGAAAAATAATGAAATTACGAGCAATATTTTCCTTTCTTTTAGAGTATTTTTCGCCATGGCTTTTAGTGCCGTTTCGGTAGGACAATGGTCTTCTTACCTACCTGATTATGCGAAGGCAAAATTATCTGCGGGACTCATATTCAATTTGATAAATATGGAACTATCAATTGACAGTAGTAATATTATTTTTATACGAGCTCTGTATAATTTTAAGGGCTGTATTCATTCATTTTTTAATCTTTAAAAATAACGAGAGGGAATAAGGAATGGGAAATAATGAAAAATAATGAAATTACAAGCAATATTTTCCTTTCTTTTAGAGTATTTTTCGCCATGGCTTTCAGTGCCGTTTCGGTAGGACAATGGTCTTCTTACCTACCTGATTATGCGAAGGCAAAATTATCTGCGGGACTCATATTCAATTTGATAAATATGGAACCATCAATTGACAGTAGTAGCAAAGGAGGAATAAAACCTGTAAGTCTATTTTGTGTATTATTAGGTTGAAGTAAATTTTTTATAAATAATAAATTAATTGACTGCTTCTTTTTCTTTTGATTTAAAACATTTCTTAAATATTGTTATGAGAAATACAAAATATTTGCTAAATCAATTTTTAAAATCAGCATTTCATCTGAAAGAAATTAAAAAAATAAATATTAATAAAACTTCGAAATAAAAATAATTGGGAAAATATTTCAAAACAGAAACTAAAATATGCATTACGAAAACTATAGCACCTAATTCAATGAAATTATAATGCAGTTATATAATAATTACGATGAATTTACTTAGTATAATATTCTCAATACTGAAAATAATTTAAGTATAATTTCTAGTAGTGCAACTAGATATAAACAAAGTCAGTTTCAATTTCCTTTAACATGTTTTATCCATATTTAAAAATTAAATACTGAGTTAGACTTTGAATTTTTAATGATTGGAAGTTTTATTAACTTAACTTATTATTTAAAAGATCAAACTTGAGTAAACTAAAATTTCGTTCAAAACAATATGTTGTTTGACGTAATAAAAACTATAAAAACAAATAAAGTAAATGAATTTTGCATTTCAGAAAAATTGGCGCAAATGTGAACCACAATATCTCTACCTAGAATCATAACACCGTGCAAAATTATAAATAATATGTTGATTGAACCATGATTCTGTTCAATTTGAACCCTAATGTGACATGCACAAGATGTTTAATTTGAAATGATGAGATAAAATGGTTTAATTTGTGCGATGATATGGTTTAAATTTGGCGGTGTGATATTATTGAGGATACCTTGTACAATATCATGCATAAAAATATCTAACATTGTAGAGCTGTTGTGGAAAACTAAACAAAAAATAGTATTATCTTAAGCAAATATTGAGAAAACTAAATTTTTTTCAGAAACTTCTGATAATTAAGACTTTGTTAATTGACAATTTTACACAAAAACTATGTCTTGTCACCGGCTCTTATTTCGTAATTAAATATGTAAGTAAAGTAAAACATTCTGAATAATGATTTCATGTCCAAACCGAGGACGAGTTAACTTGTTGACCGAGGACGAGTTAACTTGACATTGCAAGTGCAATGACGATCTGACTCGTCATTGGTCAACAATGGTTGGGCATAAAAAGGTGAGTTAACGAGCTACTGGTCAGAAACGTGTAGAATTAATATTTCTCTATTATACTATAAGACAAAAATTTTAAAATAACAATGGTTAACGCCTATGAATATTGTAACTCATTTATATGATTTGTTTTTAGGAAATTAAAGGGAAGGTTACATTTAAAGATGTTTTCTTTCGTTATCCAAGTCGAAAAAATATTCTTATTCTTCGTGGTATAAATTTAACTGTTGAACCTGGACAAACTCTTGCTTTAGTTGGAACTAGCGGCTGTGGAAAAAGTACACTCATATCTCTTTTGGAGCGATTTTATGACCCGGAAACAGGGAAAGTGGTAAGGTTAATTTTTTTTCTTTCGTAATTTATTCAGACTTTACAAACTGTTTCATGAAACCAAGCTTCCAATTTATTTAAATGCCGTTTGTAGATTGCTTTTTTTTACTCATGTTTAATATTGTACAGAAAACTGTAGTACCTTCATGTTTTATACTTTACTTATAATCGTGCAATAAAAAACACATTTTTTCCTCTTGAATTTGATATATGTTTTAAATTATGTTTTAATGATATATAAGATATAAATAATTTTTTAATAAACTAGCAATGATAATGAAAAAACTTTCGATTTTTTTCTTCTTCTTTCTCTTTAAGTTGACGGAATTTCGATATCATACATTTATATAGAATAAATTTTGTTATTTTCAAAAATTAAAAAAATTGACTACTCATACAATCGAAAATATAGTATTTGTTTAAAAATAAACATTTTATTTTCCTTGTATTTATAGCGCTTTAAACATCAATGTTGAATATAGTATTAAATAACTATACAGAAAGCTTATTTGAAACACAGGAGCTGAAACTTAGCTAAACATAACATAGCATACTATTTCTACCCCGAAATATATTATACAGGGTGTTCCTTAATGTCAACCTTTAATATTGGTTTTTAGAACCTTTATCAAAATTGAAGTGAAAGTATAGGCGTTAAGGGCCGCGAATCAATATTTACGAGAAGGGAAAAATTGCGTACAAAGTCCAACGAATCACTACTGACGAAGCTGGGACTGAAAACCTCAAACTGCTTTAATTACCAGAGGAAACAGGAATTAGTTGAAATGTGAACATTTCAAAGTTTTCGACAGATTATTGTAGCTCTTTTGTTTTTTTTTCTCACCTAGGTATCATTTTGCAATTTCGAAAGGGAATACTTTTTATAAGGATTCTAAAAATACATTTTTAGAGAGACGTGTACATTGCACCCTGTATACTTTGTATAGGATTTCATCATAACTTTAAAACAATCAAACGCTTCATTATAAATGTTAGCTATATTCTCCAAAATCTTTCCTGCAATTTAGTTGTCTGCATAAATATTCTACATTCGTGAGTCAAAAAAATTAGATGGTTGCACTAAAAGAATTTTTAAAGCATGTAGATCTAAACATTAATTTTTATTCATACCTTTTAAGTAATTATATTTATACTTATCTTAATTAATTAACTATTTCAGTTAGTAGATGATTTTGATATCAAGACTATAAATCTGAAATACCTCCGAAGTCAAATGTCATTAGTAAGTCAAGAGCCAACTTTGTTTAATTGTTCAATACGAGATAACATAGTTTATGGAATTGAAGATAAAGTCAGTCAAGTTGAAATTGAAAATGCTGCTCGAATTGCTAATGTTCATGAATTCATAATAGGTCTGCCTTTGGTTAGTAAATTTGCATTATCTAAAACTTTTTTTACTTATAAAATCTGTGTATGATACAAATATTGATATCGATAATTAATTCCAAACAGGGATATCAGACAATGGTGGGAGAAAGAGGAACACAACTGTCTGGTGGACAAAAGCAACGTGTAGCTATAGCACGTGCTATAGTTAGGAATCCAAAGATACTATTGCTTGATGAAGCAACATCAGCTTTAGATACTGAAAGTGAAAAGGTGAGAAATTTTGAATCATATTTTCAATATACTGAAATAGTTCAAAGTCTGAATTAGTTTAAAGACATATATTAAAAGAATTAATATATTTCAAACATTCAAATTCACCGAGAGTCGATGCGTAAAGAGATTGATTGGTATTTATATAAGGTCACTTCAGTTTAAAAATGTTACTTCCATTTAAACTGAGTTGAAAAGATTCCTTTCAAAGCAAAGTTACCCTCTTTTTTAGTACAAATTCGTCTAAAAATGTGACAAAGAGATGTAGGGTAAATACAAGGAAGAAGTACCAAAGCAACAAGAAATTTTTTTTTCCTTATAAATTGGAAATTATGGATTTTGTATCATGTACATTTTACAACTTTGTATCATGTACATTCTACATTTTTTTTTTTGTATCATTTTACAACTTTGTCAGCTGGCTCAATTGTTTTACCAATACTGCGATGTGCTTACTTTAAGAATTTATTGTTTCTCGTTAAATTCTAAATATACTGAGTGTTACACAATTACCACTATTACTATGTATTTTTGTAATACGAAATTAAGAGGGGTAATTTAAGAGGGGTACAAAAGCGCGGTCGAAAACTATACATACTGGTGGTAGTGAATTAATACTTTAATTAGTAAAAACTTAAAAAGGCGATGAAAATCTGATGAATTGCTATTGAGAAAGGCTAGATTCTTGATATAATAGCAAATAAAATTGCTGAGAGGAAATATGAAAGGTTTCTAATAATCACTTTTAGTTTCCTTCAGCAATCAAACATGTTTTAATGTTTTCTATCTTGCCATCATCATTCACTAAACTATGATTAATCCAATGATTCGTCAGATTTAGACAATGTTTTTGCCTTTTCTTCTCACTAAAATATTAATTTATGAGGCTTTTTTTTTAAACTTTGAATTGGATTCTTAAAATATATAATAAGTGTGGTGGTTACGCAACACCGCGTGTTAAAAACTAGTATTTGCAAATAATTGGCTCTTCGGATGAATGTACTATCCTTTTCCCATCTTGCTTCACTTGTAGTAATTATTGCAACGCTGATTCCTCAATCTTGGTTTGCCAATTATTAAAATTTCTTCTTTTGCGTCTTACGAAATGGTTGTTTACTATGCTGTTAAATTTCAAATATGCTCTGCAATAAAATTAGTATTAAAATAACCATTCGTCTTATTTTTCTGTTAAAACCATATTTTATTTTTCTGTAAGATTAGAAGGAATCTTTAAGCATTAATACATTTATTAAATAAATTTAAAATCGTGCAGAATGCTTTGTAGTCGCCTCTTTTCATTTACATTTTCAGGTTTTCTGAATCCCAGACTTTCGGCTTTTTGCACTTGAATAAAATGAATAAAAATAAAGGAAAAAAATTCGAATATTTTTCGTTGTAAATTTGTTATTGTTGATTCTATTTTTATGATACATTCTGTACAATTGTTTCTGTTTAGATTGTTCAACTAGCTCTTGATAAAGCACGTGAAGGAAGAACTTGCATTGTTATAGCCCATAGATTATCTACAGTCCAAGGAGCTGATTGTATAGCTGTGATTGACCACGGAAAAGTCGTAGAAATTGGAACTCACAAAGAACTTGTGAATAAAAAAGGATTCTACTACAAGCTTATTAAAAAACAATATAAATAACGTCGATATTTTGAGAAATGTATATTTATTCTTGTAAATATTATTTATATCATTTTTTACTTTGAATTTTAAATAAACTTGTCATCAAAAATGAATGTTTCTATTATTTATGAAATTTGAAACAAATAATGAAAAATATAAATGCATTAAGCAAAATCAGCATAAGCATGAGGTAAAATAAAAACATTATCAACATAACATTAAATAAAAATATAAAATAAAATCAGCATCAACATTAACTAAACTACATGCATAAATAATGCAGATATTTTGAGAAATGTATATTTATTCCTGTAAATATTATTTATCTCATTTTTTTACTTTGAATTTTAAATAAACTTGTTATGAAAAACGAATGCTTCTATTATTTATAAAATTTGTCACAAATAATGAAAAACAAAATGCCACTAATCACTTTTAAAATCACAGAGTTATTAAATATGCAAGAGCAAAATCACAAACAAAGGTTTCTAAAACTGATGAATAACCGATAAATAAAGACTTGAGTGAGTAATGATCACTTTACTTTTTCCAAAGGCGACATTTTTGCCTCAAACTATTTTTAAGTATCGTTTCCATATAAGTACTTTAAAAAATTCAGGATTCTCCATTTGATGCCGAACAATATATAAGAATAACTCATTATTTACAGGATCTTGAAAAATTTGAAAATGTTGCTTTACATAAAATGCCGAAAGCCCGCCAAATTCAATATGAAAAATATCTTCTTGATTAAACAATACCAATTATATTCTGACTTTCAGTTTCATTATTATTCTTACATGTTTGGAGAATCATTTGAGTGACTTCTTAAAAAACGTTTTTTTGTTTTTGTTTTTTCGTTTATTTGTTTATTTATTTTTTTAAACTAGGATTAGTGTTTAAATTTAGGGTTCAAAACAAACCACCCGTATATCACAATAACTTATTTTCCTAATTACAATTCCATGCTTAAAAAGTTTACATTTTTGAGAAAACTTAGCTAAGGCAGTTTTTTTGAAAAGTTATCGAACTTGCTTAAGAAATTTAGAGCTTTAAAAAAATCATCGGAAACTTTTAACTGAGTTTAATAACAACCAGATTATATGCTTAATCTTTCAGGCAATCACTATCAAAAGTATATCATAGTTATGAATGACTGTTTTTACACAAACAAATATAAATGAATATTGAAAAATCATTTAAAAAAAATTTATTCAATGACTTTAGTTTTAAAAAAACAATTGAAACTGAACTAAATTGAAGTTCTCTTAAAGAGATGTACATTTTCTTTTCTACAAAAAAAATTTTTAAAAAGAAAATTGATTTAAATTGTCCGAGTATTGAAAGTATATGGGCGGGCAACTGGGGAAAAAATTCTGCTGTCTTTTTAGCTATTTTTAAGGTCTTGACAAAATTGTCTTTTAAATATGTAATTTTTTTATACTTATACATTTTTTTGTGCTTTGCAACATGACGGTTGTTTGTTCATTGTTATGTTGCTGTCTATGCCGACCTGCCTGCGTAGGGGTCGGAAAACTGGTCTTGCATCAGAAAGGTTCTGAGTTCAAATCAGGCATGGATATTCCCAGAGCCTTTCTGATGCAAGGTCAGTTCCCTTATCCCTACAAGGTCCCGTCGGTGTGAAGTAAATTGGTTGAAAATTGCACCAGTTAATGATACAGTGAACAAGAGAAGCACAGTTCCGAGTAAATTACGCGTAAAAATTTTTTGATCAATAATTCATATAAATATATAACATTTCGCAACTAACTATAATGTATCCATACCAGATCCATAAGATGTTTCTTCTCCCTCATTTTCAGCAGTCATAAGAGCTAATCAAGCTCTTTTTCTTGTTAATCAACCCTCATGTGACGCATAATATATTTTTTGAGTAGCTGCCGACATTCTACAGTAATTCTCTTTTTTAGCACATTCTTTGCACAAAATTTGTGATTTGTAAACTTTTATAAGACAGTGTTAAAAACAAACATTCAAAAGTTTATTAACCTACCTTGTTTTACAATAATTATATCAGAAAGAGAGAGCATGTGCACTAAAATTGTATATAAAATAACAAAACAATGTAGATAAACTAAGACAACCTTGAATAAAATATTTATCACTAATGTTAAATATTTATCGCTAATATTAAATTTTTCTTCTTCAGAATTTTGAAACTATTCATAATACGATAAGACTATCCTTCATAGAACCGTTTATTCATCAACCGTATCAGACAGTAGTAGTATTCAAACTTGTAACTTTAACTTAATTGTCAATTTCATTGTGATATGCTTTTTTAAAACATCATTTAGACCCTGCACTTTGAATGACGTTTCATGGTCACCCTAGGATTTGTTTCAATAGTAACATGAACAAACTTACTTCAATAGTAACGTAAACAAAATTTTACGGAGATTACAAGGTGTCTTAAAAGTTTTCAACAGTACGTAAGGGACGTACAATATGAAAACTTCCGTGAAAAATTACCATACTAAATGGAAATTAGATTTCTGGTAAAAAAAAATCTCAATTTTGGTTAAAAAAATAAATAAATAAACTGTATTTAAACCATTTATTTGTTAATTTTTCCTTTCATTCGGCAACGGTTCATTGGAAATTCAAGTTTTCAAAATTGTAGTTCTTATTACCACACATTTAGTAAAAAATAGAAAACTGAAAAGTAAATTTTACCGAACAAATGAATTTTTAGGCCATGCTCTAAGATATCATGATAAAATTACAAAAATTTATCGCATATTAAAACATCATATTTTATTGTTAATTTTATCAATATCAGCTTCGGTAAAAATGACCGAACTTTTTGGTGTCCCCTTACGGTTATTATACTGTTACGTTATTATACTCGTATGCAAATTGTTACATTAAAAACCCGGTTACTATAAATGTGGATGAACAAAATTAATTTTTTAACTCTATTACGAGTTCCGTTTAATATAAACGCTTTTCATTCCTAGTGAACTGAAAGACTGAACGCGATTAAAAAATGACAGTCATTATTTACCGATTTAGAATAATTTCTTTCACAATAAATCTTTTTATCACAGATAGTAAAGTAATCAGTTGACTATCCAACATTTTAATAATCACATCTTAAGACATAATTAAGCACTTTAAAGATAAATTAACGCACAAACTATTACAATAATAAAAAAATTATCTTTTTTCTTAAACAATATAAGAGATTAGATACGAAAGGGAATGCTTAATAAATTCTTTTACGTAAAGGAATACAAGCAAGAATCAGATAGACAATCTTTTGTATTGTTAAAAAATATGATAAGCACTGATTGTTCTTCAATATTAGTTTGATTTCTATTAAAGTTAAGAAAAGTTTACCGTCAAGAAATGTTTACATATTTTTTGCTTTAATGGGCGTTAAAGAAGAATCCCAAAATCTTGTGTTTCAAGATGATAATTACAAGAATTATGGAACTATATATACATCGGAAGAAAAGAAAAGGTAATGCTGTTTATTTAATGTAAAAAAAATTAATTTTGTCCAAATATGTATTATCGAAAGCTAAAATCAATGTTTTAAATAAAAATAAAAATGAATTTGAAAAACAACTATGCAGGAAGTGATCATGTGAAAAATAGGTAACTTTAGGCATGCACTTGAGCACGTGATCATAAGTAGAAGAAAAATTAATTGGTATCGTTTAAATTACTTAAGCCATCATTCAATTTAAGCCACCTGCAAATTCATGAGTATTTTGCATAAACTGTAAAGAATTCTCAATCAAATAACTGTAAAAAGTATTGACACTCAGAGTTCCGGTAAATTTTACAGTAAAGTACATTTTTGCCGGAACATGTTACTGAACAAAAAGCTGATATATCGTTATTTTTACTGTAATAATTACCGTAAAATCACTGAATCACTCTAATTAAATAAATATTATTGTAAAAGTCACGGTATAATATATTTTACGGTAAAAATGGATTTTGCGGTAAAATGGATACAGTTATTTGGAGTTATTTAAGCCATTTTTCAATTTAAGATATCTTACTTACAGTTACGCTACATGCATTCATAGAGTAAAGTTTTCCAAAATATAAAAGAAATAATCTTAATAATCTTAAAGAAATGATACTGCCAAAAATAAAGCCAACTCTGCCTTAATATCATTACATTTTAAATAATCACAAATTAATCAACAAAAAGGCAGAATTTAATATAGCCCTGTAACTGAAGCATTTTTATGATTAAAGAAAAACAGCTTAAAGTAAGATAAAAAAATAGGTTTTGCTTTTGTTTTGTCGTGACATTGAATCACAATTAGTTATGCACTTAATTTTAAAATATTAAGTTAGCCACTACATTTATTATTAAAAAATAAATAAAAGTATTTATATTCGCTTTTTATGAAATGGGATAAAAATTAAATGGTGGATTTAATTTAATAGGACGGGATAAGGAAGAATTTAAAATAATTATAAATTTTTGTAATAAAGGAAATTTAAAATCTAGGAAATAGGTAATGGCACAATTCTACGGCTATAATTCTAACCTGATCATTCGTTTTGAAAGCTAACCCTTTTCTTTGAGTCGTTAGATAAAATAACTTAACCATTTAAAGATAAACAATTATTCATAGCATCAAAAAGAATTTGGTTTTGTTGTAAAAGGGTGTATCGTATAACTGGACTGAAATTATATTTAACAAAACGGTCCAAAATTCCTTCAAGGAAAGATTCCCATCGGAAAAATGGCAAATATCCGATTTTCAGGTGTTAAAACTTTTTTAAATATTTTATTGGAATGTATACTATTTTATCTCACTCTTATTACTTTTTATCAATTTACGATTTATAAAACTTTTGCAGTTGCTTGTTTTAGTGACATTGAAATTTAAAAAAAAAAAAAAAGTAGACGTATGTACCAAAATGCATAACACATTATAAACCATCACATTTTGATTTGAATTAAAAATACTTGTAATTACATGGCGGTTTTTAGTATTCAAGTTTTCTGTTTTGTCATTCTTAATGAAGAATTTTTTTACAGAAAGAAATCTAAAACCAAAAAAGGAAAGAAATCCTCAGAAGCTAAGATTTCTATATGGCAATTGGTAAGAAATTGAGACTTTTGCTTTCAAAAATAATAATAATAATTGTTAAAGACAATAATTTGTTAAAAACGAAAAATATAACTTGGTTCTGAATAATTTTTATAATACGTTTCGGAAACTGTTTAACATGAATTTAAATATTCTTATTTATTTTTATGCAATCTGGATAATTATAAATAGATATTTATCCGAAATGGCATTGAACAGCCAACCCATTTTCTTTTCTTTTTTTTCTTCTTTTTTTTTGTTGCTCTACGGCTATCAATGTTCCACTCTGTAACCTTGTAATTTTGAACCAAATCCAGAAGACACGGGAAATCCTGGATCAAGCACTTGGTCTTCGTAGAGAATTTTTTGATGGGACTTATCCGCATTCAAGTTACATGGATAGGAAAATTACGAAAACCATCCATGATTATCCTGAGGACGAAAGGAATCTAACCCATGATCCATCTACTACAAGCGTTATTTTATGTCTTCACTGTGGTTGATGCAACCTAGAACGTGTATCGAACCTGGGTCATTAGGAAGCGAGGACTCTATTTCTCCTGAACCACCGCTGCTCTGTACGAATAGTTTAACGTTAATTCCTTTCTGTATCTAAATTTTAAAAGTAAGATTTATAATAAAATAGTATAAATATTTTACACATTCTGAGTCTGTCAACTAGATACTAATTCCTAAATTGTTTTTCAATCCAAAACGTATTAGGTTATTTCTTTTTCGGGTGCTAGTAAAGTTAACAAGTTTCGGGTGTTAGTAAAATTTCAGTTTATTGACTGAGCCTTTCATTCTTACCATGTATTTATCATATTCATTTAACCTTTATTAAACGTTACAAAAATAAAATAAACTATTTTATTGTAATTTTATGGGCCTTCAAAAGTATTGAAAAGAAACATTTTAAGAAATTTTTTAAAGCCTTTTTAGAAAAATAATAAATTAGGGAAAACTAGTCACAATGGCTACTTTTTTCAAAACTATTTCTTGAATATTTAATCTAACTGTCATCTTGCCTTGATAAATTAAAATTCCTTAAATAAATTAAAATTATATAAAATTATTTATTAAACTTAAATTTTAATTTTCTCTTCTTTATTCTTAAAATTGATGTCACAAACTGGAGATACATTTTTAAATTTACTATTTTTTGACACTATTTGTGAAAATTATTTACATTTTATTGTTGATGCAAATACGAAATCATTAAGTGTGTAGATTAAACTTAAAAATTGAACAACGCATACTTTTTTCAACCAGCAATTTCAGTTTCGAACTAAGAAATGTTGCAAACATGAACATTGCATGAAATGAATTCAAATATTGGAAAAGTTCAGGAAGCTCTGGTTTACTTTCATGTTTTATAATTAAACATAGAAACATCGCACAATAATATTATATTTTAAATCCAGCTATTAAATATTAACTAAAATATGTCACAACATAAATTATGAATGTACTTCGGTAACCAAGTCTTTTTCGAACAATTACTTCTAGATTTATTTTATTCTTGGATTCTTAACGTGCTGAGGTTCTTGAATTATTATGATAATTTTAATTTTTATTTTCAGTTTCGGTACAGTAAGCCACTTGACATCTTCTTCATGATACTTGGCTCACTTTCTGCTGTTATCAATGGAGCAGGATGGCCATTGCTGGCCATAGTGTTTGGATCGATGACAAATACGTTTTTAACACAATCACCTACATCATTTTCAACTTCATATGTGAACAAATCATTTTCAAATAACTCAGGTAATATATAAATCTCTCTATCTATCCTTCGTGTATACATATGAAAGTTTTTTGACACACTCTCAAAAAAATTTCTTGATCTTTGAACACCTATGGACAGTGAACTATAATCCATGGAAATTTGTTGCAAACATCATAAAGTGCAAAATTTTCCATATTCGTGCTCAATTTAAACCGATTGTACCATGGCATCAAATTGGAAACAGATTAACTTACATATTAGTAAGGTTTAACTATGAATAATTGAATGGTTCAACAAGATTTAAAATTACTAACAGTGTAGTCGGATAATATATATTTTTATTTTAAAAAATAATATACTGTGTAATAACACTTAATTATTTTGTAGTATTTTATGTTTTGTTCAGAGCGAACCTCGGCTATGCATGAGGGTTGTTTTAACTACTCAATTTTTTAACATATTCATAAGTTAAGTGTCTTTTATGCAAGCCTCGTTGTGTTTTCACTTAATGAATCATAATTATAGATTATGATAACCTTCATAATAACTACAGAGTAACAATGAGTGCGTTAAAGGCTGCTTAGTTGATAATTTTTTGCATAAGTAATTAAAAAAAATTATTTATTAATATACACATTAAATGTAACTAATAAAATCACTATAATTAAAATAAAATGTTTACCTTCAAAAATGTTTTTTTTTTATGCTTAGACTCGTTCATGGAATCAAGTGCATATGAAAAGTCACAAGCTTTAGTCTTTGAAGAAATGATGACTATGTATTCATTATACTATGTATATATTGGAATAGCTGTGTTTATTGCCTCTGTAACTCAGGTAATTATGCATTACTTTTTTAATAATTCCATTTTTTAATATTTTTTAATGACAAATTATCTAGAAAAAAAATACAACCATGGTTCTTTTAGATTTTATTATGGATGATGGCATGTGAAAGACAAGTATATGAGATGAGGCAGAAATATTTCTACCAAGTTTTACGACATGAAATAGCATGGTTTGACAGCCATCAAAGTGGAGATTTAACAGCAAAATTAAATGAGTAAGTACGGCAATGGAGTAAATATCATTTGAAAATAACATTTAAATCAATATCATCCTAATTCTAATTTCTGAAATGATATTTTGGTATTTGTCTGAGCAAAATTTAAAAACAGAAGAAACAGAGAAGAGAATTTTTGTTGTATCTGATCTAATTGTGTTTCGTATAATTCTAGACAAACAAAGACTGCTGCTAATCATAACGTGTCTTCCATTCTGATTGATGTTAATTAGACCTAGATTACGGATATCAAATTGTCCAACACACCCGGGACATGTAAAAATTCAAAATGAACATGCAAATACTTTATTTAAAATATCATAAACTTCCTACTGATCACAAGTCAAATTTAGCTAAAATTCGTACCGATAACGGCACAAAAGATGGAAGTAAAAAAAGAAATAGATTATATTTGATGAGAAAATGCTTTTGAAAAAAAATCAGTAAGCATTAAGTAATAATAATGAAACAATTTTTAAGAATTTATAAAGTAATCTTAGCTCATACTTCCTTATTCTCTGCTCCGGTTCATTTTTGTTAAAGAAAATTACTCCCATCACACTGCATAAGAAAATATTAAATATAAAAGTTTAAATTGATTCAACTTTTGTTTCAACAATCGCTTTTTTCTTGTTAATAATACCTAATGCTATTTTTTTATAATACTTAATACGCTGTTTCAAAAGTGATGATATAATGTTGTTAATGTCCTTTTTCGACAAATTAATAATGTGTACGTTCATAAATTTTCTTTATATGTATTAGTAAAAATAAAAATTTTAAGATTTTTCAAACCTTGATTGCATTGTTGATAAATATTGGAGAGCCCGTTGACTAATGATCTAATAGTCCATGGGCTGGCATTTATAAAAAATAATGTAATAATAAATAAACTCTTGAGATAATAAAGATGTTTAAAACTACCTACGGGTCACTCCGTATTAAGCTAATTAGCAGTGTCTTCATGATAATTTCTAATAATATTTATATAGGTTAATAATCCTTTCAAACGGATATCCAATAAGACTGAGCTGTGCATTTTATCAACAATTCCTCATATTATACGTTTTTATAAAAATGTAACCTATTTCATTTCCCTTTGATTTTACTTTTTATTTAGTTGTTACTTTGATAAAGAAAACATGTTTATACATAAGCATATATAAGACGATGTTTTTTGTCTTTTTTTAGTGATTTAGAACGTGTGCGAGAAGGTATTGGTGACAAATTCAGTATGTTAATTCAATACGCATCAACATTTGTAGCTGGTTTCATTGTCGGGTTCATAAAAGGATGGCAATTAACATTAGTCATTATGTCCCTAACCCCATTATTGGCATTATCGTCAGCCTTCATTGGAAAGGTAAACAACTACTACTATTACGCTTTAATTCCATCAAGCAGCTAACTCTCTAAAGATTTTTTTTTTACAATTTATTTTAAATTTTATTCATATTTTAGAAAAATTTCTTTTTAAAACATTAGTTTATATCATTTATTCTTAAGTTAATTAAATATTTTTGTTCCTTTATTTAAAAATATAGATGGTTTCCACCTCCTCATCTCGAGAACAGAAAAAATATGCTATAGCTGGCGGTATAGCTGAAGAAGTTTTGTCCAGCATCAGAACTGTAACTGCATTTAATGGTCAAGACAGGGAAATTAAAAGGTACTACATTCATTATTATCGAAATCAAAAATAATTCAAAACCTTTTAAGTAAAATCATGTTTAAAAAAAATACATTATAAACTCTTTGTACATTGTCTAAAAAATGAAAAAGTGATCTTAGAAAGACAATTATATCACTTTTATTATATTTGCTATGTTACAGGCGTGTAAATTATGTAAGTAGGCTCATTTACATTAACGTTTTAATGAGATTGAAGTAAGAAAAAGCTGCCATCTATGAAGTAAACAGAAAACTAATTTATAAATTAAAATTCTGCTTAACGGAAATAAAGCTTCTACGTCATTTTGCGAATTTGCTTGGAGCAAAACATATTATCACTCATCAAGTTTCAAAATTGTAGTTTAATAAAGAAGGTATAAAAATTTATATTGAGAGCATAATTTAAGCCAAAACTTTAAAAAATACCATACGGGGTAAAACAAAAAGGAATAAAGAAGATTTTTTATTCTCTAATAAAAAAAAGAAGAAAAAAAATAACTAGCCCTTTTATTCACATATACTACGACAGTGCACCCAGGGATTCAAACCTGCATTCTCGGGATTAGGAGTTAGGCTGATTCATGAAATACCACGGGTTACGTGGTGATTTGGCTGTTTTACGGGAATCAAGCTTCTGAGTCATTTCCGAGGATTTGCATAGGGCGCATCCCGTTAAGCCCCATTATTTGGCCCGTAATTCGTTTATAAATTTAGGGCTTGGTGCGGTAGTTTAATACTTTGCAACAACATGTATGACTATGTTTCAAAATTATAGGCTAATATCAAGAGAATATTAGGTCCATTATCTACAATTAAACATGAGCTATATCCTGCTATTATAAAGGGAACATTGGCAGTACAATTAAGCCCCTTGTGCTCCAACTAATTCTTCTGTAAATCAGCGGCTTGGCCTCATGCTTAGGTATGTTGCAATAATAAATGTCGCCAAGTTTGATGATATTAGGGGGACCGGAAAGTAATTCGTTTCGGAGAATTAAATATTCGTTAGTCTTAAAAAGCAATTCATTTTTTTTTTCCGATTCATTTTGAATCCGGCATTGAAAGGTTGTTGCTAGCAAGAATGAGTACATTATTAATTAAAAATGAACTCTTGATAGCAAATATCAAATTCACCGAAAAGACATTACTTTCCGGTCCCCTTGATAATTGGTTAATATTAAAGTAAAATGTAAATGTAAATGCAAATGCTTCATGCAAATGCAAGGGACAAAAAAAAAGATGGACATTACAATTCGGCCCTTTTTTTACCCAAACTAATTTGCTTAGAATTTTACACTTTACTCTCGTTCTCAAGTATTTTAAAATAATAAATGTGGCAAAGTTTGAATAATATAGACGAATATAAAAGCGAAATATAAGCCTTTATGTATACCCAGAAATCACAAAGAAATCTTCCGAGACTTTCGAAGTCTGACAACGCATCGGTTTTATAACGTGAACTTAACTATTTTCCAAGAAAAAAAAACGCGTGGCCCTTATAAAAAAGAAATACAGAACGTGACTTTAAAACCTTTTGTACTGAACTATTCCCTTTCAACATCGCAGGTATTTACATCATATATCACAGCTGATTCTTAGGAAATAGATTATGAGTGTTCCAAAGGAAAAGATAGTACAGATACAACTCGAATAATCAATCACTCAATGTCAGAAAATTTCTCAAAAAAGTCACCCTTTTTTCATTGGTGATTCATGGAAAGAAAGTTAGCTGTTGAAGAATATAGTATACACTAAATTTATAAATTTTAAAAAAATTATCTCAAAAATCTTTTTTTCAGACATTTGGAAAAAAAAAGAAAAAACTCCAGAAAAAAACTAATGTATTCTTTATTATAAATTTACGTTTTTCTGTTCGTTAAAAACACTTGTACTTTGTCCCTAAAAATGTAAAGCAAAAACAACAAAAGTATACTAACTCTAAAAAGTAGCAAGGTATAAGTAAAAGCATTACTAGGTATGATAATGGGTATTTAATACTTATTGTTTTACACAAATTATACTTATTTATGAAATCCATTTCTTTGAAGTAAACAGAAATGTAAAACCGTTATTAAAATAATCGCTGTTTAGGTTGGTTGTAGTGCATGGAAAATTATTTTCATCAGTGTATAAAGTGCGGATTTTTTTTTTGTAGATACCATGATGCTTTACTGGATGGTATGAATATTGCATTGAAAAAGTATAAATACGTAGGATCCGCATTTGGATTTACATTTTTAGTTTTATATGGATCCTACGCTCTCGCATTTTGGTGAGTCGCATTTTACTATTTCTACTTCATTATTTGTATTTTTACTATCTTGTTATAAAAGTAATCATTAAAAGAAATAATTTATTTTTTTAAACGCTCATAAAAAACTTTTATGGTAAAAATATAGTTAAGGGAAATATACGTTTTTAGGACTGATAAAAAAAGAAAATTTTGTAGATAATATAAGAGTACCATGTTTCAATTATCATAACATTTCACGTTGACCTGACTGGTATACTGGACGTGTAAACATGTTAAATATGTTAAAAATGTTTGTGATTTCGTATTCCATACAAATCAACAACCGAAAATAATGTTAAAAAAATTTTTACTTTTTAACTTTTTATCCCTCTTATAAATTAAGCTTGATATATATCTGATATTCTAAGTATTTGGTTCTTGTAATGGATGTCTCAGTTGTATCAGTATTAACCTATAACTGACACCAAAAGAAATTGGTACTTAATTAATAGGTATTATTGGTAGAAATTGGTACTTACCCATCTCTAATAGAGACAGTTAATCGCTATATATATATATATATATATATATATTATAAAGAATTATTGCATAGCTTAAAGTTATTATTTTTAAATATTTTTTTCGAATGCCCTGTATTTCTAATCACATTTATGAAGGTGTCAAAATCAGAGTGTAAAATATTAAACCAATACTTAAATTTATCTAATTAAAACTCATAAAAATAATTCCTAATTCGCTTGTTAAACGGTAATTCATTTGCTGCTCTCAAATTATCTTTCTTTGCCTCCTCATTTTCCACATTTTAATTACTTCTACTAATGTAAGAGAAATCCCTTTTAGTAATAAAACATTTTAATTTTTGCTTATTCAACTTATGAGATGAAACATTCTAAAATTTCATAATTATTGAAGTATTTGAAATTCCAGAAATATCTTGAAAACTTTTTAGATTCTAGAGAAAAATGTTTAACATTCTTTTTATTTGACTGTAAATTCATAGGTATGGTGCCAAGTTGGTTCTTGACAATAGCATGACAGCAGGAGATGTTTTCTCTGTGAGTATAATTTTTAAAAAAAGCATTCACAATTAAAGCTTCTTTAATTTTGAAAATGAGCAGTAATTTCATTAACTTCGCTAAACGTGAGATATCCGAAGGCTATAAGCCAAAAATATCGGAATTCTGTTTCCGTTTATTTCTATTTTGATTCTGTTTTTGTTAAATAAATTTTTATGTCTTGTCAAGAAAAAAATGAAAAAAATTAGTCATTTATTTTAAATGTTTCTTTTAAAATACATTGATATCTGAAACTACTCGGGGGGGGAAACGACAAAACTACCGTAATTGTATGATTATGACATTTCTGGTAAAAAAAGACAAGTAAGTAAAAAAAAAAACATAATTCTGGTAGCAAAACCAAAATATACGGAATTTAAACCATTCATTTGGAAATTTTTCCATACTTATGGTAACGACTTACCCAAAATTCTGGTCTTCAAAATTATAGTTTTTATTACCCTACAATTAGAAAAATATAAACCTGAAAAATAAATTTAATAAATAAATGGTTTTTTTCCGGTGCTCTACGGTATCATGATTAAATTACCACAATTCCAAAATCATGCTACCAAAAATCATAGTAATAAAACCATATTATATTGTCAGTTTTACAAACAGTCATTAGCAAAGCACTTCGGTAAAAATTACTGTGCATTAAGTGTTCCCAGAAACAGGGTAAATTTTTCTATATTCATGAAGTTTCGACCTTACCTTTTCCTCATTGTAATTTTTCTTAATTTAATGAATGGAAACTACTCAGAACTGGAGACTACTCAGAAACTACTTAAACACTTCATGTGTAGGTTTTCTAATTATCAACTTTTTATGCTGTAATATATGCTTACTATTTTCTTTAAAGACGTATTTAAAACTAGTCGTATTTAACACAGTAATTATCTATATTAAACAAATTTTTATATTTATTATTTACAAATTATGGTCACAAAATAAAATTAATAGCCTGACTTTATTCTGCTTTTAATTATTAAAAATTTAACGGTATTCTTCTAAATTCTCATTTCCGTTTAAGATGGATTTCTTAAATTTTTTATAGTGGCACTGTTGCTTGTTTAAGAACTACTTTTTTAATAATGGGCTAATGAAAAAAGTCCTATTAATAAAGACTTTTCATTTATAGTTTGTTTGTTGACGCTGGAGGAAATTTTGCCATTTTCCAATCATAAAATTTAATATTTTTTTGTTTATTTACCTAATAAATATGAGGAAAAAATTTAAAAAAATTATTTATGAAGAATTGAAATGAACAGAAAAACGAAATATAAAGGAAAGTGCAATAAATTCTTAAAAAATATAACAAAATTGCAATTCACATAGTTTTCAACCCATCAAACCGAAAAAAGTTTTAAAAAAATAAACATTTTTCTTCATAAAGCAAATGGACTATAAACCATATAATTGTTTTAAATGAAAGCAATGAAAAGTTACATTGTTTTACAAATTGGGTGTATTACACTAATAAAAAAGTCATATATTCTTACAATCTTATATTATGTGTAGGGCGCAAATTTATATACATTAAAATACTTAATAACTAAAAGTAACATACGTTGTTATCTAAAAATAATTTGTAAAACTAAACTTTCATTTAGAAAATTCAGATTCCATTTACTTTTTTTTTCTTTTCATTCAAAGCTCTGTTCTGGTAAGCCATATGTGATGAAAATTTTAATTTTAAGCGTTTCAGACATCAATTCTTTATTCAACATACGTTTTATTATTTTTTTGATAAAAATTACTATTCTTAATAAGAATAACATATTTCGTATGTAAAATTTGACATCGGTTGTTGTTAATAAAATTATATTTTTAGGTTTTCTTTGCTGTTATGATAGGATCTTTTTCTCTTGGAAATGCCATGCCACATTTAACTAGTGTTGCAACTGCAAAAGGCTCGGGTGAAAAAATATTTGATATCATTGAAACAGTGTGTTGCTTTATTTTATTAGAACTTTATAATTGAATTAAACTAACAGCTTGTACCATAAGATTAATATAATACTACGTCTATCTTAATTGAAGTCAGAAAATATTTGTTAACTATAAGATTAAATATAAGATAACTATGTTAACAAAAAATAAATACATTTATTAAAAGCTGAATTTGAATATTTTCTATATTGCCTATTTCTTAACGTAAACTAACGTTTTAATTCTAACAAATATACCTTGTATATAATTAATATATATATCAATAATATTTGGTCTACCGGAAAATTCTGACTGCGAAAGTACAAGCTTCATTTTACAACAATGCAAACTGGTCTTTATTAATAGAAAGTGGTAGAAACCTTATAACTTAATTTTATTTCTTATATTTTATAACCGTCGTTAAACAACCGACCCAATTTAGGGTTTGCGACTACAATTGTTCAACTCTGTAACTTTGTATTTTTGAACCCAATCCATAAGACAAGGGAACTTCTGGATCAAGTATTGGGAGAAATTTGCTTTCGTTAAGAACTTTTTGATGGAACTAATCCTCAATAGCGTTACATGGAGAGGAAAACCACGAAAATCTCTCTCCGTTAGCATGACGGCAAGGGCACTCTATCTCATGATCCGTCTACCACTGAGGATATTTTACATCAACACTGTGGTCGGTGCAAGCCTGGTGTGGGATTCGGATCGACCAGCCATCACTGGGATTCGAACCCGGTTCACTTCATTGGAAGGCGAACGCTCTATCCCCTGAGCCATCCCAGCTCTTTCTAACTCAATTGTAATGTTCTAGATCAAGGAGACAACATATATAGCACAAGAAGAGCAATGCATGCATGCATTCAAACTAGTGACAGATCCATCGACACATCTGACATACACATGAGTAAATCCTTACAACTTTGTTATGAAGGCACCTGTTGCATCATTGCATAATAGGGTGTATACTTTCTTGTAGAGAATTTCCCGGTGAACCCAATAAAAGATTTTTATTTCATCATTTTTCTATTTTTGTCCAGATTATTTATTTTCTAAAGTATAATTCCATTTCCTTACAGCTTTATATCATGCATTTAAATTTTTTTCTAAATGTCATCAATTATAGTTTAAAAATATTTCAAGCAATCAATTTCACTTAATTGTTACGTTGTCAATATCATGACATCTTCTACTATATATTTCACTCTTATTCATTAATGTAAAAAATCAATTTTAAAATTTATTTTTTCTTTAATTGCTTAATCAAAATATTTTATAGGTACCCAAAATTGACCCATATTCAAAAGAAGGAATAAAGCCAGATGCTTATACAGCAGACATAGAATTTCATGACGTGCATTTTAACTATCCGACAAGGAAAGGAGTTAAAGTAAGTATGTATAATTTACAAGCACTCGCCATCTTGGATTTTAGGTTAAGTTTTTGATCTTCGTTTTCTAAGTGTTTATTGCTCTTAACAAACTTTTAATGATAGAGTATCATGTAGCATCATAATAATGTATAATAGGCTGCATTAATAGAAATATATTGTGGAAATATAAGAATAGAATAGAATAGATATATATTAATATAAATAAGTTGAATTATGTATATAAATAGAAAAAGGTGAGAATATGGGCTAAGTTTCATTAGATTATAAAAATGATAATAATGAATAAAATAAATTATGATCCTAATTTATCACTTGATAAATTTTTAAATATGCTACATTTTTCTTCACAAAAAACTTAAACAGCAAAATTGTCAGCAAATTATTTATTGAAAATTTTTAAGAAGTAATTGTTTAGTTCAAAATTTGGTGCATTCTAATCATACACAACACTAATATAAGGAAGGACAATTTGCAATACAAAATTCATTTGAAACTTAATTCATATGAAAGAATAAATGTCAATTTGTTTTAAAATGCCCATATATGTTAAGAAATATTTATTGAACATTTTCTAAAAAAGCTTGTTTTGTCTAATCCAAGGATAAATCATGCCCAAGAAAGGACACTTTGCAATTTTTTTAAAATTCCTAATATGTAGAATTCTATTGAAACTTCTTTCATTATGAAAAGTAAGCGTCAAGTTGCTTTTAAATGCCTTTATAAGTCAAACAATATCGATTGAAAAGTTCTGAGACGAACATGTTTTGTCCAAAATATGGTACTTTCAGGGCATACATATTGAATGATATTAGAACACTTAATTTTTAGGAATCTCAAATTCATTTGAAATTTGTTTCGTATTAAAAAATGTATGTCAGTTTGTTTTGAAATACCTACTCGTGTCAAGAAATAATTAAAGAAAAGTTTTAAGATGAAACTTTTTAATCCAAAATATACTAAGTTTAGAGCATATATATCGGTAACATAAGGGAGAAACTTTTTATGCATTTTATATATATATATAATTTTTTGCAATGTTGAAATCATTTGAATTTTAACTACTATTAAACATTTAGCTTCAATGCGTTTGAAATACTCGGATGTATCCCGAACTTATAATTAAAAAGTAAAAAAGAAAAAAGAAATTTTTATACCAAAACAGGCTAGATTCAGAGTATACAAGTCGCAAATATGAGGGGGGGGTCTCCGTATGAATTCTTTAATTATTTGTAATTATTATTTGTAATGTGAAATTTATTCCAAACATATGCCACATTAAAGTTATGTGTCAATTATTTGAACATATCCAAATTCTTTTTTGATTTTTAAGAACTTTAACATTATTAGGTAATTAAAATTATTAGTAGGTATTTTTTGCGCAAAACTTGTTAGGTTAAATCATTCATATCGGTAATATAAGGGAGGACACTTCGCACTCATTCTTACAATGTTTTGCATTTGTATATTACTTTATTATTTATTTTATTGTAATTTTATTACTATTATTTTTATTTTTTTGTATTACATTCTTGGATTTCAGTTTGCATTTTTCACGAAATATAAATTTATTAATAAAAATATTGTTAAAAATGTTCTCTTAATTTAATTTAAACAAACGAAAACCGATTTGAATAATGCTAATGGTGACAAATATAAATTTTTGGGGGAAATTAAATATCAATAATTAAAAGCATATTTAGCTTTTCCTTTTCCTTCCACAGCCTTCTAATTATTATATTGGAAAAAGCATTAAATATTTTCATATGACTACTGGGAAAAAGGAATGAAAATAGAAATATGTGGTAAAACTTCTCATTTACTTGCAATTTAAAGTGTTTCAGATTAAAAAAAATATGCTTGTGCAATTATTGTGACATTTAAACCCCTGGAAATTGATTTTAAACTCATTCTGCTGTTCTGAAAAGCTCGAGTGAGGCAAAAAATAAGTAGTTTGCTATTTTTAAAAAATTATAAAATAAATGAAAAAAGTTCACTATATTTCATATGTAAACATCAATTTATTTCGAAAAATATCTTAATCCTTAAAAATCTCTTAAAAATTACATTTTGACTAAATAACAAGCATTCAAATGTTCTGCAGGTGTTAAAAAACTTTAGCCTTACAGTAAAGGAAGGTCAAACTATTGCTTTATGTGGAGCAAGTGGAAGTGGAAAGTCAACAATTGTGAATTTGATATTACGATTTTATGATCCGAATCACGGAATGGTATGTATTTTCTATTAACTTAAACGAAATACATTTTTAAAAGCTTCTAGTATTATAATTTCTATTTATAAATTTCTAAGAAATATTATTTTTATTGTTTGTAGTAGTTTATATTAATTAATTGTGTTCTTAGGCTTAGAAAGCAATGCGTTTGAGTTAAATATTAACATGCATGTGTTCTCATTTATTAATTTAAGCATGCACATTTCATTTTTATATCATTACCTTCTCTGAAATGATTTTTCGATGTTGTATTAGTTTACATTTATTTTATATAGATAACTTTGGGTAATTATGATCTCCAATCCTTAAATGTTCATTGGTTACGGTCAAAAATTGGATTAGTTAGTCAAGAACCTATACTTTTTGACGGATCCATTTTTGAAAATATTGAATATGGTCACCAGGGTGTTTCTTTTTCTGAAGTCGTTGCTGCTGCAAAGATGGCTAATGCTCACGATTTCATTATTCAACTTCCAAAAGTAAGTGTAATTTTTTTGTTAATCTATTTTTGCTTTGCTGCCCTTGAAAGTTGCAGTTGAGATAATTTTTTTTTCCAATACTACTAAAAATGAATAATAGTTTTTGCATGTTCTGCTTTTCAGCATCTAAACTTTCCATCTAAACCTTCAACATCGTGTTCTTTTCAAAAATTATTTTTTATAGAATGGTTAAAAATGCGCGAATTTACAATTTGTTTCCCAATTATCTTTAGGCAGTTCAAAATTTTTATTAATTTGTGAAACAGACATTGTAAGACTACAGAAAACAGCTTGTTTCATAATAAGCAATTTGTCATAATTAACTCTCTAGAGTTGCGAGGATTCAGGGAATTGCCTCCTAAGGAGATAACCCAGGTTCGAATCCCAGCATTGACTGCTCAATACGAATTCTGCTCTCGGCTCGCACTGACCACAGTGCTGACGTAAAATATCCTCAGTATATCATCCTCAGTTATTATCACCAGTCATTATCCTCTATATATAATGATCAGTATTATCTTCTGTATAAATCCTCGGCGGATCATGAGTTAGAGTCCCCTTGCCATCAGGCTAACCCTGGGAGATTTTCGTGGTTTTCCTCTCCATGTAACGCAAATGCGGGTTAGTTCCACCAAAAAGTTCACCGCGAAAGCAAATTTCTCCCAATACTTGATCCAGGAGCTCCCTTCTCCTCTGGATTAGGTTCAAAATTACAAGGTTACGAAGTTTAACATTGGTTGTTGTAAACACAAAATTGGGTCAGCTGTTCTGTTCAACGACGATTAAAAAAATAAAGTAGACTCAGTGAACGAGTTAATAAAAATAAAATTAATTTTGCGTACGAAGCTAAATTTCCGTTTTGGCACTTTGTTCAATTGAATAAGCACTTTTTCTATTTACAGTTTTGTAGTTTTATTACTATTTTAAGTTCAAAGCATTTAGGGATTTTAATTCACAGATAATGCAAGATTAAATTTAAAATCCCGCAGCAATTAGGTCTGCAGCATTAAATGGGATTTTTTCAGAAATACTGGCTCACTTTTTACTAAAAAATTTAATTTTTTATTGGCATTTTCCAGGCAACGTAAAATACAAGTACAAACATTGAAATGCAATAAACGAAGCCTTTCAAAATTTATTGTAAGTTTAAATACTATTGTTTCTTCATTCATAATTGTATGAGTGATCTTTTTCTGCAAATAAAAGACATAAATGAATGATTTGATTTTTTCCCATTTTATGTGGAGAATACTTAGAGAATTTTTTTCTTCTGCTGTTATCGTTCTACCTAATTATGTTAATAATACTATAACATAATGAGAAATATGTTTTGGATGTTCTTTATTTTTTAAGTATTCAATAATTACTTCAGTGGAGTAATAAACAACATTCACTGTTTTATATTCATATTTTAAGAAATATTTAAGACCGGGATAGCCTGGTTGGCAAACGCTGAACTCCCATTTGTGAGAACGGGGATTCGAATCCAGTAGGTCGAAGACTCCCCGTGTAGGAAATGGTGACTGGTGTACGATAAATCTATCGAGTCACAAGGTCCTCCATGATCCCATAAACAATCAATACTATTGGGGGTACTGAATTGGAGATTGATCGTTCTCTGATCCAGGTAAAAATTACTATCTGTGGATGAATAAATGGATGCACTAATGGATTCATCCTATGAACTGGTGTGGCGTGTGAGCGTGGCGGAAGTCGAATTCTCAGTCATAGATGGCGCCACTAGATAAAAAGAACAATCGCTCCCCTCTGCCTTAGAGGATGACGACGACAACAACAAGAAATATTTAAGAATGATTTATAATTGTAGTGATCGATAAGTTTTTGACTTTCTAATTTTTTCATGTCAATTTATTTTTAAGGGCTATGACACTTATGTTGGTGAAAGAGGTGCTCAGCTATCAGGTGGACAAAAACAACGAATAGCAATTGCTCGTGCGTTAGTCCGCGATCCAAGAATACTTCTTTTAGATGAAGCTACTTCAGCGTTGGATGCAGAAAGTGAAGCAATCGTTCAACAAGCTCTAGATAAAGTAACAAAAGACTGCACATTCTTCTATTGCAAATATTTTTATAGTATACACTATCTGGCCATTAATGACCGGACACCCCTCATTTCGGATACATGAGGTGCTAGTATCAAGTCAGTAGGGCGTAGGGCCGCCACGCGCCTAAATCACAGCTTTAACCCTTCTAGGAAGGCTATCCACTAGGTGTTGGTACACGGCGGCAGGTATTGCCCGCCATTCCTCCTGTAACATGGCGAAGAGTTGAGTGGTGGTTTTGGGGCGTTGTGGTCTGGCCCTCAACCGGCGCTCCAACTCATCCCAGAGATGCTCAATTGGATTGATGTCGGGACTTTGGGATGGCCAGTCAAGCTCTTGCACCCCCATTTCATCAAACCAGTCCGTGATGGCATGTGCTTTATGAATGGCAGCGTTATCGTGTTGAAACACAAACGGGCCATTACCGAACTGTTGCCACAGGGTGGGAAGCGCCGAATTGTCCAGGATGTCTCTATACCCTTCTGCGTTCAGGGTTCCACGCACTAACACCAAGGGTCCAAGGCCAAACCATGAGAAACAGGACCACACCATAATTCCTCCACCGCCGAACTTCACAGTGGGGACAATGCACTCCGGTAGGTACCGTTCTCCGGGCATTCGCCAGGTCCACACCCGTCCATCAGAGTGCCACAACATGTAGCGTGACTCATCACTCCACATAACGCTTTTCCATTGCTCTACTGTCCACTGGCGACGTGCTCTGCACCACTGAAATCGGTGGCGGGCGTTTGATGGAGAGATGTTTGGCTTATGTGCTGCTGCTCGTCCATGGAATCCTTGTGCAATCAGCTCCCGACGAATGGTACGTGCACTGGCAACACTGCCAGATGCAGCCCGGAAGTTGGTAGCGACAGTGTCCAACGACATTTGTCGGTTTGCCTTCACTACACGTCGAAGAGATCGTCGATCCCTGTCGGACATTATTTTGGGCTTGCCGGGTCGGGACTGCGGTTTTTCACTCCCTCTCGTTCCCATTTCAACACGACGTCACCAACTGTTGACTGTGGTACCTGAAACTTGTCGGAGATGGCACGTATGGAATGACCAAATCGGTGGGCGCCTATGATCATGCCCCTTTCCGCCTCATTCAGCTCTCGTCGTCCACTCATTTTCACTGTTAACGCTCGTATGGCCGTCGCCTGCTTGAGAGTGGTCTTTCCCCCACCACAGGTTCCGTATTTATTCCACCAGGACGAGTCCACCTGCCGTTCAAGGGGTGTCCGGTCATTAATGGCTAGATAGTGTATACACAACTAGCTTTAGAATAAACACATTTTAAAGTTTTTAATTAAAGTAATGAAAAGTAATGTAGTTTTAAATTTGTAGATAAAATTTATAGATTTTCTCTGCATTTAAAATGGCTTAAAGAAAAACGGAATTTTTTTTTTTGATCAGAAAATTTTAGTGAAATAATATAAGATATATACTGAAAGAAACATAAAATGGTTGCTATAAAAGTTCAATCTCCAGTTTTTTTTAATTGAAACAATTGCTGCTAGATTTTAAACTGAATGCATTCATTTTCGGCAGTTTAAAGAAAATAAATTCCGTGAATGCTTTCTTAATAAGTAAAATATTCTTATCAATTTTTCTACTAAAACATCAACATGCCAAAAAGTAATGTTTTTTTATATTTTTCGTTAGTAGAACACAATTTTATTTCTCCTTCCCCTTCTTTGTTTTTATTTCCGATTAGATGAGCAAAACAAAGCCTTATATTATTGCTCATACTTTCTATGCAGTTAAAGCTAAATATTTATTCTTAGAAACTAAATAAAATAATATTTTGATGCCAAAATAAAGGACCTGTATATTATTAATACACTAAAAGTATTTTTCGCTAAAACTGTGTTTTGATATTAATGTAAAAATTACGGAAAATATATAATTTTGGATTTTGTTGCTTTAACCAAATCTTTTTAATTCTTTGTTTCAATTACATTATTATAACATTATTATTATTATTATCATTATTCTTCTTATTATTATTATAACTAAGATTACTCATTGTTGCACATTTTTCTTTTGGTTTTGGTTATTTTAATTGCCTACCAATAAAATACTAGCACGGACTTTTAAGTTAGTTAAATGCAAAATTCACTAGTAATAAAAATAGTTTTGTTGAATGTATTGAATGCAGATTAGTACTTCGACTTAAAAAAGTTATTTTCAATTGAATTTTTTTTTTAAATGTGAGTTTTCTATTAAAAATAATATTTACTACAATAATAGATAAACTCAAATAACTCCTCTTTGGGAAATTTATTTTTACTGATTTCTATAGTTCATAGCACGCTATTTAATTTTTATTCAGAAATGAAATTCAAAACTAGTAATTTGCTTAAAAATTCATTTTTATTTTTAAAATAAATATCATAAACTTTTGCTCACTGATAGGCCCAGCAAGGAAGAACAACAGTTGTTATTGCTCACAGGTTGTCAACAATAAAAAATGCTGATGTTATTTGTGCTATGGAAAATGGTGAAATAAAAGAGCAAGGAACACACGAAGAATTAATGGAAAAACATGGTATATACTATCAGTTAGTCATTAATCAAGTATTTGCTGACGAAGGCGAGATTCATTCTTCGGAGCAAGGTACATTTCGCTTTTTTTTTTTTTTTTAATTTTTTAATTTCTTTTTGTCGAACTTTCAATTTCTAATTCTTCAATTGTAGGATTAGGTAAATATTTGAAAGCATTTACACAATTTCTAGCAAAATAATCGAAAATTTCGTGTTGAACAAACTGGCAGTAATTACACAGGCATTCATTTTTTTTTTATTTTTCTGTTTTGTACCAAAATATCATTTGTATTTTGTATCATTTTAAACCAATTTGAAATATAAGTTTTACGTTGATTTCAAATATCCAAAAAGGATTTTCTTCCATCAAATACACTTTTGATGATTCTCCATAGCTAGATAACTAAATTTGCTAAAAATTTAATTCTATGATAGAAATTAAATTTGTCTAGTCCTAGCTCTGTTTGCGCAGTTTAAAACGTCGCTAACACGACTAGAATAAAGCTGAGGGTTTGCTCAAGCACTGTCATTTTACCTGGATCAAAATCACATGATTTTTATGGCATGGCAGTTTATGGCATGGCAGCCTTGAAAAACATTGCTTGACCTTGAGTCTATGTGCTCCTTTCAAATATCAAAATGATCAATCTAAATTTAAATCTGTAGCTTCCTTTAAAACCTATTATAAAGCCAATTATAAAGTATAAAATATAAATCTGTAGACAATTATATACCTATTATAAAGCCAATAGCAATCTTTCAAAAAAGAATTTATAAAAAAAAAAATTCTTTATTTGAAAATAACATACGAAAAATATGAATTCCAGGCAACAAACATTATTTGCTTCGGGACTTAGAAAATCGCACATCGCTGAAAATTCCACGACTTTGCCGCGCTGAATTTAGACAAAAGAATTGACCAAGTAAAATTTTTTCTGTACAGCCTGTTGTTAAAATCTTTACGACATTCCTTTGGGAAAAATCGCGCAAATTTTATGCAAAAAGGGTTTAAAAAATGAACTAGGCATTGAGAGACAATTATAAAAAATACGCTATCTACACTAAGGGAAAAAAGTATGATCAAAACTACCAGAATATGATAAACTTTATAGTGTTTTTGGCTCAATAGTAACACAAAAAAACTCGGTAAAATTTACCGAAACGCTTTTGGAATAATTTTGGTAAAATTAAGAATAAAATGATATTTTATATTATGCGATAAAATATGGTAAATTTGGTAATATTATCGTTATATCTTAGAGCATGTTATAAAAACTATTTGGTGAAATTTACTTTTCAGTTTTATATTTTTTACTAAACGGGCGGTTATAAGAACTGTAATTTTGAAAACCAAAATTTCTGGTAAACCGTTACCATATGAACTGAAAAATTATCAAATGAATGATTTTAATTCTGGATATTTTGGTTTTATTAACCAGAATTGTCTATATATTTTTTTGCCAGAAATGTCATTACCATACGGTACGGTAGTTTTAAACTAATATTTTTCTCCGTGTATGGATGAAACATATTATATACGTTACGAAAATGTTTGTTGATCGAAGAAGTTGATGATTTACCATTAATTGGAGAAGATGCTGATTGATGCATTTTCAGTTCTCCATATATTATGCCAGAGTGATGTAGATAATAAACAATAGGAACTGCTTTAGTTTGATAATAATAAAAATATTTTATTTCTGAAATATGGAATCATATAGAGCTCTAAAGTAAAAAAATGATTCACTTTTGTGTACATATAAATTAATAAATTTAGAAACTTGCCCGGAGGGTGTGGCTACCGGGCTGTTCCTCACAGGTCAACTCCGTCCACCAAGAAATCAAAAATGCAAGTGTAAGACATATGTTAGCACAGTTTTCGCCAAGGAAAGCTAAGGAATCCATGTATTGGCAATTAGTCGATTTTAATCTATCGCCAAAGCTCTTTTTCTTAGCCTTACGCATTCAATTGTGTTGGCGGAAAAAAAGCGTGAGAAATAATATTAATGAAATTTTAGCGAATTTTATTAAATGAAAACATTAACAACCATTTAACGGTTTTCGAATTCTAATGCTAATGTGTTAGGCAGATATAGAGGAAATCTCTAAAAAAGGATTTTATACCGCACTCAATTCAAGGTTGTGGTATAAAAAGATTTCAGATTATATTAATGATTTTTATTTATTAAAAAAATATTAAATAAGATAATAATTTGGTTTTTAAATGTTAGGAAATATGTTATGCCTATTTCCGCACGGTAATTTAAAATTTCAGTTGGGCAATATAAAAATGATAAAAATATTTAATTTTTTTTAAAATCTAGAACAAGCTTTATGAGTCATCTGATACTTTATCTTAAGATTACATTTTAATTAGGGAATGCACGAAGTAAAAGTTTTCCATTGTCTTTCAGAAAGTAAAAGTGCCGCTGAATATTCGATGAGATTGGCTAAGAAACGTTCTAGTTCAGTACGGGCTATTCCAGAAAGTTTTAGATTACTTAGTCGACTTGAAAGCGAAGTTAAAGAAGTAAGAATTTCAGTTAATTTGTAACACTGTTATGATTTCGAATGATTCTTATGTCTGCTAACTTTTTCATAAACTTAATTATTGGTAAAAATATTTTATAAGAAATCCTTTATAAAATTATTATTTCGTTTAGTTAGATGTAATTAAATTAAAAAACAGAAAATTTCTATTTTTATTTTTCAATTCTTATTTTAGATGTATCTCAATATAATCAATGTAGTTGAATTTTTTAGATATTTTATAAGAAAATGGTTAGATGCCATAACACAAAATTGATAAGCTCCGTTTTCATTTGAAAATTAAGGAATTTAAACTTCGAACTAGATTATTATCATACTCCATCATGGAAAAACAATAAAACAAATATTTAAAAATATAAAGATAAAACCTTGAATGCGTGTACATAAAAACTTTTAGTCTGCAATTCGTAATTAAAGTCAAATTAAGTGATTGAACAAACATAAAATATTTTATAAATATATTTATTCCTAATAAAATTTTATAACTATTAGTTTCCTTTTTATTTATTTATTTTCATATCTGTTATGCTTACTTCAGAAAAATTTCATGCAGATATTATAAGTACCGAATATCTATAAGTAAATATCGTCAAAAAGTATTTTAACGAGTCTTGCTTTAAACGTATTACAGAATTATAATATTACTATATTCTGTTTTAATATACCGTAATTGATGTTATAAAACTTTCCAAAATATAGAATAAAACGTATAATAAACACAATTTTTTAAAAACATTTTAACATAAATAAAATGTTTAGAATAAGATCAAATGTTTTTTTATGAGAAAAATTTTACACAACAGATTGCATATTGTATTGTAACACACTGTATTTTTTGAACGATACAATTGAGATTAAAAAATTTTCCAGTAAGATTAGTAACTGGAATAGATTAGAAAGAGTAAATCTTAATTGAAGTAGGACAAAATATAGGATAAATTGTAGCCCGAATGCTTCAATATGACGTGAAATAAATAATCTAATTTTAAATAGTTCCGTAATAATATTAAAAAAAATGTTGCGTTAAGTTAAACTACAAATTTTGCAGGAAAATATTGAAATTCCTACAGGATGGGAAATTCTCAGAAAAAGCAAACAAGAGTGGATGGAAATAGTGTTTGGTTTATTCGCAGCAGTGATAACTGGTATTGTAATGCCGGCCTATGCAATATTCTATAGTGAAATTTTCAATGTAAGTAAATTAAGCCTTATAGTTTAAAAGCAACTTTTTGCAATTTATTTTTATTCAATAAAAATATTCATCTTATAGACTTTTACTATGACTGGAGAAGCTTTAAGACAATCAGCATTCTTTTGGTCCATGATGTTTTTAGTGCTTGCTATAGTAGCATGCTTAGGTTATACATTTAGGGTAAGCCACTGTCACTATATTTTATTTTAATTCTATTCAACTATTTTATAAATGTTTAATTAATGGATTTTTTGCGTGACATTTTTATTTCTAGGAAAAGAGAATTTGAGTTCAAGAAGAAAGTTAAAGAATAATATAATGAATGAATAATATATTAAACAAATAATATAATAAATAAATAGCATAATAAATAAATAATATGATAAACAAATAATATAATAAATAATGTAGTAAATAGCTATGATGGTGTTGATCGCCAATACTAATATTATACTGACAGTTGAAGAATCATCATTTGCTTTTGGCCGTTACCTAAACATCTTTATTTGGATGTAATAAAATGATAATTGTCTAAAAAAATTAATAAATTCATTTAAGTAAAAGTTTGATTTATTAAGCAAATGTTAGTGTATTAAAAAACGGCCATATTTAAAATATAAAAATAACAAAGAAAAGAAATCCCTTAAAGGGATCAAGATTCATTCTCCACTGCGAGAATTTTTAATTAAAAATGATATTCAACGGTTGGGACTGGGAGGCCCAAAAGGGCACCCCCAGTCGCCACAAATTTGAAATTGAAAGTCAAGGAATTTGTTCCCAACGGACACAGGAGCATGGAGAAGAGATCCAAGGTTGGCAAATTATTGAAATATAACATAGCCAAAATAAAGCCAACCACCCATAATCAATATTAACTTTGAAACTATTTTGGCGATCGTGAATCGCCAACAAGACTGTGAAAATTAATATAACTATGTAACTGAAGCATATTTGTGGTAAGAAATTTAAAAAGAAAGAGTTATAAATAGATTTTTGTTTTCGATTAGGTGTGACAGTGAATTAATGAGTCTGCGTTATAATTGAAATATAAAGTTAGCAGTTACATTGATCGATAAGAAAAGAATAAAACATTTTATGTTCGCTTTTATAAAGATTAAATCGTTGATTTAATTTAAATATAATTCAACTAAGAATGATTAAAAAAATAAGTTTAAGTAATTAAAGATATTTTAAAAGCTAGGAAATATGTAATGCCAATTGTGGCATCACAATAGCTAAATTTAAAAGTCCCTTATTTTGTGCTTTTAAACACCTTGAAAAAAAAAATAATCAATATAATAAATATGTAATTTTGAGGGTTTCTTGTCTATTGTTTTTTAACACTTTCTTGCCTAATATTTATCTTAAGTACACAACTTCAATATGAAATTTTAAACTATCTTTTGATTTGCAGGACTTTTTAACTTGACAGCACAGCTTTTTTGTTAGCTAACTTTTTCGTCGTATTTTTGCGCTCTATTGTTTATAATTAAACTTATTAAGGAAATTAGCGACTATATATTAGAGGCATAATTAGAGGTGAATTATTGTTTTATTTATTTATATATTTTTGTTTTGCGACTTGATGGGCATTTATGAAGAACTGAAAATATAAAGAAATTTTCTTGCGTTTTAAATTTAAATAATTAAAAAGTTTTTTTTCAATTTCTAAAAATTTACTTAAACAGTTGTTGTGTAAGAGTGACAAATTTGAATCAATTAGATTGAGTTAAAAAAACATTTCATGATAATTTTTTCTCCAGAAACAAATATAAGAAAATATTCCTCCCAAAGTAAACTCAAACACAAAAAAAAAAATATAATAATAGTAATAATCTGGATCTTCAAAATACAATGTAAGAACTAAGATTCCTCAAAGCGGAAAAATGTTGAATTTTCCTCATACATAATTCTAGAACTTTTAGAAAAAAAGCTCTGCTTTTAAAATAAAAACTTCTCCAATTATTGATGGCATTACAGGGAATCTATTCAGAACTGCTTCAAGATTATCATTTTCTCTTTATATTTTTATATATTGTCTAGTAACAAATTTAATTTAAAAGAAAACAAAAAGTAAAAAAAAAGCAAAAAAATTTTTTTTTTAATTTTTTCAAAAATTTCATTTGTAACTTAAAAATGAATAATAACAACTCCACTTCTATTTATGAAGACAATAGGATTCTGTTATGCTGGGGAAAAATTAACTAAAAGATTGAGGACTAAGACGTTTATAAACATTCTCAGGCAAGATATTGGATGGTTTGATGATGCCAAACATTCTACTGGGAAAATTTCTACGAGACTTTCGACAGATGTTCCTATGGTTAAAAGTGTAAGCATTTAAAATAATTCCTTCTTAAAAACAGTACTAAAACTGAGCCTTACATCTATTTTATGTACAAAAACTCACAGAAGCAAACAATTTTAGGCTGGTGGTATTAGAATTGGATCAGTATTATCTGCAATAGTAACGTTACTATCAAGTATTGTCATAGCTTTTATATTCGGATGGAAACTAGCTCTTGCATTAATGCTTGCAGTTCCTCTTTTACTACTCTCTGGGGTGCTTCAAATGAAAACACTAAAAGGAAATCAAAAAAGAGATGCTGAACTGATGGCTGATGCTGGAAATGTAAGTGGCACATCACATATTTTTTTAAAGACTAATTTTCTCACAAAGTATAGTTTAGTTTCCTTTTGTTAAATCAATATATTTTTATATATTGATATAAAAATATATTGATATAAAAATATATTGATATGAAAATATATAATAAATCAATATATTTTTATACATCAGTATATATTTGTTTTGTTAAATCAAAATATTTTTGTTTCTTAAATTAATATATTGATCAAAAAGATCTATATATGTTGTAAGCGTAATTTTAAATTTGGTTGAAATTTAATGTTTATCTCCGTTGTTACACTAGAGAATATATGAATATATATATATANTATATATATATATATTGTTTTTTTTTCATGCATGAGATTTTAGAGATCTTAGCTACTTAGCTACTATAGCTACTTTCGTATCTCTGATTTCAAATCTGCAATTAGTTTCTCTCCCCAAGCTACGGTGTTTTTTTTTTGTTTTTTTTCTTTAAATGGCATTTTTTCTGTATATTTTGTTGTAATGTACAAAGTTAAAAACGTTATATATAACAAGGGGTCGCATAAATGTACCGATAAACTTTTAGGGGAGTTAGAGCACATCATTAGGATTTAAATTGCATATTAACCCAATCCCGGAAATATCGTCCGACTGCACTGGGGCCGCTTCCCTATTATGTACTGTTTCCTTGTGTGTGTCTAAATAGGTTATAATAGGCAAGCGTCCCTAACCACATGCGATGACATTTCAAGGCATATGATCTTATGTATTTTTAATCCTGATTATCTGCATTAACTAGCCTAGAGGTTTGTCTCAATATTTACGTGACTCCTGTTATTTATAACATTTTTAAACATGTATAATAGAAAAAAAACTCATTTAAAAAACTAAAAATCTAAAAACTACAAACTAAAAATCTCATTTAAAAAATGCAGCTTGAGGAGCAAATAAAATTTCAGATTTGGAATCCCCACACAAGAATCAAGAAAGATCAAGTATTTGAATAAATGCAACAAAAAATTTGTTCCTCAGAGTTATCCCAGATTTTTCGAAGCAAATAGCAATCAGATTAAATCATAGCTTCGTTCCAACTGTTTCCAACTCTATCACTACTTATTTTAAAGGGTGACAAAATAAATGAAGCATATTTGAATCAGTTACGTTTGACCCACAGTGAAAAAGATTTACTTATTATTCTGGAATACGACTGATTCTCACGAAATATGACAATTTACAGTCTCTTGCTCCAAGATCTAATACTATACTACGAAAAGAACTATTCTTTAAAATTTTAATAAGTAGCATTGCTGTTAGTATTTTAAAATGACATTTACTAGCATTGGCTGTTTTATCTATTTAAAAAATTTAATTGAATTTCAAAATGTTATTTTCCTGGTATGTCACAAACAATATTTCCAATAATAACTAGCTTCAAAACATTCCATAAATCTTTCAATATCTAATTTTTTTATCTCAACCGTTGTAAGCATTTCTAGAATATATGCGGAGGGTATTATTTATAAAAACTTTGTGGAAAATAATTTTTTTCTGTCAATAATTTGTTAGTCACAAGAAAAGTCTGTCATTTTCCTGGCTACTTTTATTTAGTGATTTATAACCAAAATAGATAGCGCCAGCAATCAATATCTTATGTTAAAAGAATGATTAGAATTCCATCCTATCTGAGCATATCTTATTGCAAGAATAAAGTACCAACTTTCTGGTTCAAAATCTATTTCAAAAAATGTTTCAAGGTGAGTAGGTTTTTATGTTGTCATTTTCCTGTCTACTTGAAATCATTAATAACATAAACTATTTTACTTGATTTACCTGAGTAATTTCAATAAATCCTGTTGCTTTCTGCGGAATGTAAACATCTTAGGTCGAAATGTTAAATTAAAGTAAAATTAAATGCTATATAATGGCAAATTATCATTATCCTGGCTGTAATTTTCCTGGCTTATGAATACCGGGACATTGAAACAGTTATCAGAAAATTTTTTAAACATTCGAATGTAAAGGGAAAGCAAATATTAACCTAATACCAAGTTCATGTAAGTTTGTAATATGCTTGAATGTAATCGAAGTTATTTTTTTTATTTAATGATTGATTATTATACACAATTTTGTTCTGTACATATCAGCATCAAAAACATTTTTGATTTTTTCTACAGTGGATAAAAGAATTAATTTAAGCAATTCACGGTCCATCTAATGCAAAGGCTTAAGTTGAGTTACTTACTATTAGCTTAAAATCACTGTTTTTTTTAACTTCTAAGCTAATATGTAATTTTCCTGGCATTCAAAAAATTGGTGAATTTCCATTTTATTTTTTTCTTGAGCAAATGTTTATAAACAACACTGCAATCTGAAAGATATCAATAAATGTAACTAAATAAATTTAGATTGTTTTGAAGACTTTAAATTTGACGAAATTTTTTGTTCCGAATTGTCATGTTTCCAAAGAATCACCCATATACAGAAATTCATACACATGTTTCATTGTAAAACTTTTTGTAAAAATAGATAAAAAAGTAGAATTTTCTTTCTTAGTTTAAAAAAATTAGTAAGGATTGTAATTGCGAATTCTTACCTTGCGTATCACTTCGAAATGCGTTACGTAAGTTACGTATCGCTACACTACAAGCACATAGAAACAAAATTATATAGATATGTTTGTCATTTTTAAAGCATCTTTTCATGATTCACAAAAGTAATTTTAAGTTCATTTTGCATCTATAAACTTGCTTTTATTAAGTGTCGATAAGTTATATTTCTTAAGAAAAAAATGCTGCCTTCATTTAAGCAACTTCCAGAACTAGCTTAAATCTAAGTATATTACTGAAATGACACATAATTAAATAAGTAAGCGCACATAAATTAACATTCAATTGACCATTACATTACATTGAATAACATTTAATTTACATGAATGAAATTTATTTTACATGAAATTATGTATATACTTTTCAGGTCGCATGTGAAGCCATCGAAAATATCAAAACTGTTCAAAGTTTAACTCTAGAGAAAACATTTTACGAAAGATATGTAGAGAAACTTTTGGTTCCATTCAAGTAAGTTCAGTTATTAGACGTCTTGGAATAATATTTCTCCGAACACTATAGTTAATTATCGACAGTCAATCATATAAAGTTATATTTCTTAAGAAAGAACCCCTTCTTCCCATTAGTAAATTCTAGATGGCCGTTTAAAACTGAGATGGGGGGGGGGAATATAGCAAGTCCTTTATAAGACCAAAATTATTTTCACGTTAAGTTATTACTTTTAACTGGGAACTGGCCTAAAAAAGAGTTTCTAAGAAATAAGTATTATATTCTAAAAATTAAGGAAATCTTCATATTTATTTTAATCTCTCATCTTTGCCTCTATATTTATTTTAGTTTGTCTGGTTTTATAAGTTCCTAAACTTCTAAAGTGTTCGGAAGATATTCGCCTGACAGTACACTGTCTTAAAAATTGGCTCAAACTTGAACATTATATTGCAAAAATTTATTAGAAACTTAAGGAGAAATTAGACTCAATTAAGTTTCTATTTATATTGAATCATAGAATTTCGGAAGAAAAGCTCGATAAAAGAAACCACTGCTCAACAATTATATGAATTTCTTATAACCGATTTGATTCCAGCCATTGAATTAAATATTTATTTGAATGTAAAAAAATAAAAAATACTTCAAAAAATAATTCATATGCAAAGTTTCTCTTGAAGTTTTGTAGAAACAACTCTCAATATGATGTGAAAATTTTTATTGTATGTGAGGTACAATTGCACAATTTAATAATATTATTATCTAAATTAGCGGGGCCACCCCTGCTCGTTGCCCTCACCAATCCCCAGATTAACTCCCCGCAATTAGAGCTTGCTTTACCCGCTAATTGGTTATTTTCATTTATGTCTTTAGTCCAGGTGTGTATGCATACTAATACGCCTTTTAAAATGAATTTCTTGAATAATGCAATATATACATCCTGTTAAGACTTTAATTGATAAATATACAATTAAATCAATGCGAATTCATGTATACAAAATTATAAATTTCGATGTTTGGAGACACAACATAGTTTTTATTCTTACGTAAACTCACAATACTTTCATTTTTTACTGTTGCTCTTTTTTCCACTCTCTGAACTATAGTATCGTGAACTTAAGAGAGAAGAAGATTGGAGTACAAAGTACAGTATACTCTTGATATCTCGAACTTCGATATCTTGAAAATTATGTCAAAAAAATATTTTTCCCCTTGGCATTACGTATCCACCTAATATAAATCTGAAATTCTATGTCGAAGGGATTCTTCTCAAAATCTTGCTATGTCGAATTTTTTTTTCAAAATGGAAAATAATTTTCTTTGCAAAAATCACAATGCAAGTTCATTGTAAACCAATTATTTTCTATTTAATGCATAATTATTTTTTTCTTACTTTTAAAAATGTAATTAATATTGTTGCAATTACACTAGTCAACTATCATCATTACATACATATTTAATAATAGTTATTCTTATGTTTCATCACTTTACTTTTTAGAGTACTATTTTATGATATATTTTTCAACTTTTTAGAACATATTTAGTTCTGAACTTGTTATCTCGGAAACTCGTTGTCTCGAAAAGTTTTTAGCTTTCCTCCACCTTTGAGACATCTGGAGTATACTGTAATATGCTTCATTTTCTCATCTTATATTGTTGTCACAAATTTAAATTATACTATGGTTCCTAAAACTAAACTCAGTGACGCGACAGCCCATAGAGGGCCAGGGCCTACTGCGCCCATCTCAGTTTTCTTGACCTTGGGCTCTGGGGTGTGGGAGCAGATGTTCCTGTCAGGAGGTCAGCCGAACGCGAAACCCCCCAGTGTTAAGTTCCCAAGAATGCTTGGTACTCATTTATTGACCCACTAAAGGGATGAAAGGTTGAGTCAACCTTGCCCGGCCCGAGGATCGAACCCAGGACCTGTGGCACAGGACCGCGAAGCGCTACCACTCAGTCACCGGGCGTCATACTATGGTTCCACAAGATTTACAATTTTTAACAGTGTATTTTTATGGACAAAAGAGTAGGCTCTGTTCTAGTTTGAAGCACTGGCCGAATCGAAAGGATTTATAATTCGAAAAAGCTGAGAGTGAGGCTAGTGTAAACATCTTGAATAACTTTTTATCTCTTATGTGAGATATTGTAACCTGACAACGCTGCTGTACACTTCCATGTGCCGTTGCTTACTCAAACTGTGAATACTTTAGAAGAAGTTCGTAAACGTAGTTTTTTAAGTTGCAAAAGCAACTTACAAATTTTCTTATTTCTCTTTTATTAACTTATTATATATTTCAACTGATGATAATATGTTATAAATGATACCGTTTTTTACCCATTTTTATGTTAACTTTTACTCAATTATATCAGAATGATCGAAATAAATTTAAACTTCTTGGGCACACTGACTCAAAAAGTGTTAACAATTTTGTACTAGTCAAGTTTTTAAAAAAAATAGATTAAAAAAAAAATAAACAGTGTTGTGCATTATGTTGGTAGAGTAGAAGTTGTTTATAGATTTGGAGATCATGATGTTTAATTAAGAGAAAAATTGGATATAGTTCCAGGGACCGATCAAGGCAAATTCAGACCCAAGGCCCACCAAATTTTCTGGGCCCCTTACAAAATATTTTCAAATTAAATTACTGAAGAGTAGTCCCAATAATGAAAATACGATCTCTATTACGAGTGTAATAAATTTGTGTAATAAACGTATACAATATTTCAAAAATTATACTTCTCCAATTGTGACATTCCTAATGAACTGTAATGTTAATTTATTTTCAGAGAAAACAAGAAGAATGCGAATGTATATGCTCTTTGTTATGCGTTTTCACAAGCAATAATGTTTTTCACCTATGCTGCAGCATTTCGATTCGGTGCATATTTGGTTGCCCGAAATGCCATGGTTCCAGTTAATGTTTACAGGTATTATGAATTTGTTGTTGTTGTTTCTAATGCTACTTGCCACAAAGGGCAAACCTGTTTGGTGAACCCAGGCAAATTTAAGGCAGAGTGTGCGTTTCTTGCTTTTCAGTGGCGCCATCTATGACCAAGAATTCGACTTCTGTCACACCATACGTCGCACCCGTTTTATAGGCCGGACCCATTCATTCATCCACAGACCGTAATTTTGACCTGAATCAGAGAACGATCGATCTCCAATCCGGTACCCTCAGTGGTATTGATTTGTTATGGGAACATGGAGGACTTTTGCGACAGTTTTAACGTGCATCAATCACTTTACTACACGGTCTTCGGCCGGCGGGGTTCGAGCCCACGAAATCTCGGACATGGGCCCAGCTCCCTACCGACCTGGCTATCCCGGTCCATTATGAATTTAAATAAGCTATACAGTAGAATCTCGTTAATCTGACTAACATGAAAATTTGAATTAGTCAACATTTTGTTTGTAATTTATGTTTCGCTTTTTTTTTATATCAACATAATTGAACGCTAAGCTGTGTCTTCTTATGATGTTATATCACGATTCATTACAATTTCGGTCATATTTTTTTTCTTTTTAGTTTCGTAAAGAAATATAGGCATCTGACCGTTTTCGTTTCTGACGTGTCATAGTTATAGTTTTAAAAATGGGTGCAAATTGTGTTACTAGCTTATCCATTTCCGAGAATCAACACTTTTATTCACACAAAAAAAACAATAAAATCACAAGTAATTTTTACGATACTTTATCACTATTCGCTTTCACTTAACTTAAGAATCTCACATTAAAGTGATAACTTTTTCAATATTATATAACAGAGCGTAAAAATTATTCCCAGACGCGTTCAACCATGCCTTGTGTGCTTTTGATGTTCTGCTGAGGCGACGACGATTTTCGCTATGATGTTTTGGCTAGATTGGTTTCATGTATTTTAGCCCGAATTTTAAATAGATCAATCGTAAAAGATGAAAAAGGAGAAGTGCTAAATTTAAACTTAACTTTAATGAAATTTAAACAACAAAATCATAAGCATCCAGGATTGTAGTAATACAAGATCAAAGACGTCTAACAAAAAAAAAAAGTTCAAAACAAAGCACAAAAGAGAATGAACTTTTGCAATGGTATATATACATTTCATGAATTCGAATTAAGTTTAGTTCGTTATACTTCAAGCGTGGTACAGAAGTTTACAGGTTAGGCAGGTGCACTGTAACTTTGGTACTTGAACCGAGTACTTTGATTACACCACAAGATCCTCTGGTGCATCCACCAGCTTCGCACTTTATGAGCACATCGGTGACCCCATAGGTTTGATCCTTGAAGATACTCACACTGTAAAAAAAAATCTGTTAAATTTACGAAAAATAAACTGCCTGCTGCTATGCCAGTATAGAACAGTTTATTTCACAGAGAGCACTGTTATTTCAAAAAAGGCTTCTGTTTCTAAGCAGACGTACTGTTACTTTAACAAGTACTAATGTGGCTTCTTCTTCTTCTTCCCAATCGATTTTCATATGATGGCTCAAATGTTTTTAGAGTAACAGTTGAAATTGTGTGGTCGAGCCTATTCTATGGCTGCTGGCCCTACATTTAATTCTAATTGCTATATAACTGTCAATAAACATTTGCAACATTCATTAAAAATGATTTCAGCTGAATAAGTAACAATTTCAACAATTTATATTAAAAGTACCATTTTATCTCCTTTTTAGACAGTTTGAACAAATTATTTAAATTAAATAGCTAAAATGACAGTATTTTACTAAAATTTTCTCATAAAAGTGAGAAAATCCATTTATAAACTGAACGCACAAGTTCACTGAACATGTTACAACGCGTCCTGCATCGCCTCAACGAGCTCCAAAAATTATACTGTAACTTTGACTTTATTACGAAAATCATTTCAGTATTTTGATACATTGTTCTTAAAGGGATAAAATATCGAAAAATACAATATCCCCCCCCCCCTTTTTTTTTTCTTTTGAAAATTTTATTGTGTTGTTCACTCTCGGTAAGGAAAAAACTATTTGTTACAGGGAACTTATAAGGTTGAGTATCAATTTAATAATAAAATAAAATCGCAATTTTACTTACACGATGTTCAAAACTATAAACTAATTGCTGAAAAATAAGAGCAAATAAAGAAAATAATAGTAAAATGATTTGAAAAAAGGTAGAATTATCGTACAGTAAGCGAAACTGCATGGCAAAAACTGGAATTCGAGCTGACGGATTTAATCCCTTTTATGTTTAGAATGAGAAACAGAAAAAAACTACTTTGTCAACATAACTGCTTTAAACCATCAAATATACAGAGAAAATCTGAGAAAAGAACAGTAATTTTTTACAGTGCAATGGCTCAAAATGAATGGCATATGTTTGTTTAATTTGGACAAAACTCAACTGACCACTATCTTACAGAGTCTCTCACAACATGACTCGTAACCCCATATCTATGGACGGTTTACATCCACTTGATTCTTTTCATCACCCTTCTGCAACATTAAAACACATTTTTCATACAAATTATAACATATTATCCATTTCTATTATTTTTAGAGTATTCTTTGCCATGGCTTTTAGTGCTGTTTCAGTTGGACAGTGGTTCTCTTATCTCCCAGATTATGCTAAAGCTAAGTTATCTGCAGGGCTAATTTTTCATTTGATGAGTTTAGAGCCACCTATTGATAGTGATAGCAAAGGAGGAATTAAACCTGTAAGTTTTATTTACATTTAAGCTTTCGATGTATAAGCATGTATTGACTTTTACGAAAAATGAATAAGCTTCAGAAAACATTGCAAAATTTATATTACCTCAATATTTTAGATAGGTTAAGCTTATTTTAGGGATACAATAATTTAAAAACAATTTTTATGCAGATAATTTTATAGTTTATCTCTGTTAATTTTGGATTGCCATGAATTAAATATTTACACTCCTCAAACTCACTTCAAATAAACAATTTAAACAATATTTTTTTCTGTTTATTTTTTCACTTTTCTGCTTTAAATCCGTTTTTCTGTAATGAAATCTGCAGTAACTGAGTTCGCTACTAAATTTGTGGTTTATATTACTTTTTTCACATTTTTTTTAACGTTAACTGATGCTAAAACTCTTAAATTTCACAGTATGTTGTTTCCTATTACATTAAAAACAAAACTAATTTTAAAAATTTCTATATTTACAGGAAATTAAAGGTAAAGTAAAATTAATAAATGTTTCGTTTCGTTATCCAAGTCGGAGGAATATTCTTATTCTCAGAGGAATCAATTTAACTGTTGATCCAGGAAAAACGTTAGCATTAGTTGGAACAAGTGGATGTGGCAAAAGTACAATTATTTCTCTTCTTGAAAGATTTTATGATCCAGAAACAGGAAAAGTTGTAAGTTTTTAATAATGTATTTTCTGCATTTTTTTAAATTTATTATTTTTTTTATATATATTTATCCATTATTTGTTTTCTAAAAATATAATCGAAGCGAAAGATGAAACAGATCTAATAGAAAAAATTCACTTCAGCAACTTTATGCTTAACAATTTTGGCCCTTCTAATTTTTTATAGCTCTGTAATTTAGAAAAAAAAATAATTCGCAGAAAATATTGAGCATTTCTGATTTTTCATAATTTGAATCAATTTATGTGCCTATTTAATCATGTGCTAGCCTTATGGGAAAGTATATATAGAACTTTTATTCCTAGAATGATTGGGAAGGCCAGAGTGGCCCCTTTGGTAGTTTGGTAGGTACCCCATAACCCGAAGTAGGTTTGAGTGTAGGGTAACCTTTAGTAGATAAAAGGTACCCCAGTTTCTTTTAAAAGCAAGAGTATTTCAAACATCTCCAATTACAGTTTATAGAGAAAAGGAAACTCAATTAACTTAAAAACTAATGTATAAGTATAAATGAAAAGTTAGTGTTCTGTTTTATCAAATATTTTCGTTAATCAAATCGCATAATATGCCATGGAATTTTGATGGATGACCGAGTCTCTAAAATCTATTTTTTTATTATTTTTTCTAAAATTAGTGATTGTATTTTAAATTTTTGGATGCTTAATTGATCTACGAACAAACAATTTGGGAAGGACCAGACTGGCCCCTTCAGTCTTTCTAAGTATATAGTTTTGTTCAGTTTTTCCAGCTTTTTAAAAGTTGACGCATAAAAAGTTCGATGAAATAAAAAAAGGGGATTATTTCATATATATATAAAACGGTACTAGATAGTAAGGATAAATATGATTAAATAAAAATGCATTAGGCTGTTGTAGAAAATTTTTTTGAGTGTTTATATTTTTACTGATAGTTTGAGTGCGTATACAGTAAAATTAATATTAATAGATTTTTTAGAAATTTATGAAAATTTGATTTTCGCACAAAATTATTTTGTATTTTTTGGCCTGGTTGGGTTACTTCTCACCTTTAATAAAAAATTATCCTCTTTGGTGTTTGACGATTATGATTAATGAATTCTTCCTTTTTCATATATTTTTTCTGAATTAAACTATCACGATATTCCATTTTTAACACTTAAAAAGAAGAATAAAATAAAATTTAAATTTAAAAAAAATTTGATACTTTATTTTGAAAAACCAAAGTCTAAGCAGTCAACGAAAAATTAAATTTAGAACATAATACATGTTATGGATCATCTAAACATTTGATTCATTATAGAGTTATACAGATTGGACAAAAAGAGAAGGGAAAAAATCCGTGATTAATCTATACTCAAAAGAAAGTTTAAAAGGTTTTGAACTTTTACATAATCTATCTAACAAACGAGTTCATTTAATTTATAATTATAATTTAGGATTTCAATACTTACAAAAAAATTTAAAAACAATTTGAGCCTTAAGGCTAAATAATAAAGTAGAATTTCAAAATATTTTTTAAAAAAGAATCTACCAAATGTTAAACATTTCTCATGTGAAATAATTTCAACAATGCGGTATTTAATATTTCAGATGATTGATGAATTTGACATAAAAATTATGAATCTGAAATATCTACGAAGCCAGATGTCTCTTGTAAGTCAAGAACCAACTTTATTTAATTGTTCAATAAAGGATAATATTATTTATGGAATAGAAGGCAAAGTCAATCAGGCTGATATTGAGAAGGCTGCTCGAATTGCTAACATCCACGATTTTATAAAACAACTTCCTAAAGTAAGTAATTATAAATATCTATTTAAACCATATTTACCCTAAACTGCTGAGTATCCTCCTCATAGTACGTGGAAAAAAGTTGACAATGTCAGTCAGAATTCAGGGGCAGTAGAAGGGGGAATAAACTAAACTACTGTTATTTGCGAATAAGGTTAATAACAGTAGTTTAGTATTATTATCAGTATCATTTTATACAAATAATGTTTGTTTTCAATGTATTTTTCATAAAAATAAAATTATACTAAATACGAGACGATAGGACTAAAAGATTAGAAGTGGTAAAGATTTTACTATAAATTCAATGTTTGACTCGTACCTATTTACACATTTTACATTACTATCTAGGCAAGTGAAGTATTATTTCCTATTTGTTTTTTACACTGAGTTGAATCAAACCAACTGCAAGCAATTAGCATTGAAAAGTTCAAAAGTCGAAAGGGTTTTTATGTTCTGTTTTTGAATTGAAGGATATTTGAATAAAATTAATAGCTTTTAAAGTATTAGGTTGTTAAAAACTCCTGCAACACTTGAACTTTTAGTGTTGCAACACGAAAATTTCAACTTTTAGGAATTTTCATTTCGTGTTGCTGTTCCTTTCGTGTTCTTAATTTAAACTTTCATCTATAATCTCTAAATGACTATGGGTAAAACTGAACTTCGGGTTTTCTTTCATTATTGCTATAAACGATATCTTTCAGCAAGGGATGCTCCAAGGGTGTTGAAGGACTTTTTTAACAACCTAATATTTGTTCTGTCAACTCTTATTTGGCCTCATTCTATTTAGACTAAATATTCATAAGAAAAATTTCCTCATTTATCTGGATAGTAATGTCATATACTTAAATAGATACTAATCAATCATTATACTTTTTATTCACAAAACCCTTATAACTTCTAAACTATTAGTTTCATCGTCTTAATTTTGTCTCATATGATTCGGCGTTGAAAAAAACATCGGAAACAATTTCCAAATAGCTGTTATTAAGTTTCTCACCTCTCACTCTCCCAGCTGAAATTCAGCTTTTTACTGTTTACTAAAAGGAAGGTACGCAATAGCATAATTTTTGCTCCATATTTATCCATATTATTATTCATATAATACGATATATTTTTCAGGGATATCAAACAATGGTTGGAGAAAGAGGAACGCAGCTGTCAGGTGGACAAAAACAACGTGTTGCAATAGCTAGAGCAATAGTTAGAAATCCAAAGATACTTCTGCTGGATGAAGCAACATCCGCTCTCGATACGGAAAGTGAAAAGGTAAAAATAAAGAATAAATTTTTTGGGGTTATTTAGCAACAACAAAACGGCGTTCTACCATTTTGGAAATGTTGCGGAATTATTTTTAAAACTGGCAGAATGTCTTTCCGTGACTTTAAAAAGTATTTTGAAATGTGCCGGTTCTTGAACTATTGGGGTAGAAGACTCATTCTTAAATAAGTCTAAGAAAAAAGGCATAAGAGTAAAAGCTTAGTAATAAAAAGTACATCAGAAATCCAACAAGCAGCCACTCAAGCTCAAAAAAGTGTACCAAAAGAAACCCTGCACCGGGAATTGATGTTTATTATAAATATATGTTTATTATTATAAGTCTGGACGCAGTATTTATGACTGAACTACTACTGACATTTATCAGAAATGAAACTAGTTGCGGACAATCGCCATGTAATTTAGTAATTAATGAAAGACAGTGTATACGCTCATTATTTTACAACCAATGTTTCGAAAAATTTAATAAGAAAATTTTCCATTCTTACACTTCTAAATACAATCTGTAGTTTTTAAATGCATGAAAATTTGTCTTTGATAAGTTCAAAATTTATCATTTTATTCACAGCTCCTTTTTCCCGTTATAAGGCCTTGTCGGATGAAAATGGAATCTTGTCAGTAAGACAGTATCTGGTAATAAAAAATGGTATAAGCTATATATTAGGCCAAGTCAAAATTCCAGTATGGTTAGATACAGTGCCTCGACTGTAAAGAAAGAGCAGACGATAATGTTTTACGCGATAAAAGTTTTATTCCTGTTTCTAAATCTGATTAACTTTTTATCTTTTCTAAAGTTACAAATATAATAAATTTAAAATTACTTCCCTTAATTTTAAATCCCCATCATGTTTCTCAATGTAGTAAAAGAATCGTATTAATTTAATGATATAAATTATTTTTTTCCGTTTTGAAGGTAAACGATTTCTTCATTATTTAAATACATACTCGGCATTATCCCATTAGGTTCAGTACTGGCATATTTCCAACAATCAATCAATTTATATTTCAAGATATGTTTTTTTTTAATTAAATCATATTTATCTTGAGGATTAAGAGGCTAATCACTTGGACACAGATTGCTCTATTTATATTTAAGTGAAGATAGTGGTTTGGTTTTGGTGGTCACGTTGATTGCTTGGTGGCTGGTTTTAGCTAGTACCCGCCATGCCAACAACATCGCAAAATGAGCGAGCTGTCAACCTGGTTGTCCGAAGTCATCTTTATTGTGAAATCAGTTTTTGTAGTAGGTTTTAAACGTGAGTGCTATCAGTTTTTGCTTCAGACTCCGGCTCAGTGAAATGGTAACTTTTTCAAAAGCTCAGCAGCCCTACGAAGACAGCGTTTTATCCTTCAGTAATGTCAATAAATGAATTTTAGGCCAATAAACTGATTCCTGTGGAATTATTAACCTTTTTACTCACCTGACTTAACTCCTTTTGACTTTTTCAAAGATTCAAAATTCATCTCAAGAGTTGTCATTTTGGGACACTGCAAAACATTTAAAAAGCTGTAACGTTCCAGATTAAGTCTATTCCAGTATCAGAGTTCCAGCACTAGCATTAGGAGTAGAGGAACCTCACCGATGCTGTATTGCTTCCCAAGTGAGCTACTTCGTAGGAGACAATATTCCGTTTATGTTCTTCTTGAATTAAAAAAGATTAAAAATTCATATTCATAACACACCTCGTATTACTGAGAAAGAATTTCCTTTGCTTTATTTAAAGTTTTGAAATTAAAAATAATAATAGCAAGCCATCATTAATATAGGAATTAAAAAATTTTACAAAAAACCTATTCGAGTTTTTTTCTTTTCAAAATATTTTATTTCAATTCCAGATCGTTCAAGAAGCACTTGATCAAGCACGAGCTGGCAGAACATGCATTGTTATTGCTCACAGATTATCCACTATACAAGGAGCTGATTGCATTGCTGTAATAGATCATGGAAAAGTTGTAGAGAAAGGAACTCATAACGAATTGCTGAACAAGAAAGGATTTTACTACAAACTGGTCAAAAAGCAATTTAAATGAAAATTAATTACATTCGAATGTCCTTGTGTAGATTTAGTTAAATAAATTATAAAGTTGTTAAAAACTTATCACTGATACAACTGAAGCACTTTTTCTGGTCAATAATAACCATTTGAACCCTGTAGAACCATGTAAAAGCATTTTCTGTGTCTAAAGTCTGAATCATATTTCTATTACAATTTTCAAAAGTTTACATGAAATAACTGAAACTAAAGCATTCCCGCAACAGCCTGGTAGGCCAATATGGAGGTTAAAACTCCACAATCTGAAAACCAACAGCAAGATAACGGTATTGAATCATGATTGAGCACCGGTGACTTTTGCTCGTCAGCCGAGATGGTACCCATCGATGTAAAGATGGATCGACTTTAATCCATCACTAAAGATTAAACTCCAGTCCTTTATAGTGATTACTCAGTACTGCGACTCAATTCAAACTTAAACGCATTTTATTACATATTATGTTTTTCAAGTTGGTATGTAGCATAACATAAACAAATTCTATCAAAGTGTTTTGAAGTAAAGTGCACCATTTTTTAGAGAATTAGATAGGATTAGTGGGATAGATTTGAATAAGAATAGCATATTGAATCAAGTATCTCTAATGAAATAAACTAAAAATAAACTGATGACAACTGATGACAAATAAACTGACTTTTTTTCATAAATGATGTAGTATTATGAATTTTTTTTTACATCGTTTCTTTCTAGCTCTGCTGTGGATTTTAATGTTCCATTTTTTTCATAATTTTTTTTTCAATAAATACAGTTTATAAATTTATTTTTAATGGGACCTTAAAGTATAGGAACGTTTCTGTAAATAATGGTGGATTGTTTGTAAACACGGAATACTATTTATACCTTATTTTTTATTATCTTATTTGTCTACCCAATTTTGACCAATTTTTCTTTCGAGGGTAATAAACTAAAATTTTACTTAACTCAAAAAATCTATTTTACTTAACTCAAAAATCAAAAAATCAAAATAATTTGAAATACATCTAATTACTCAAAATGTACAATATAAAATATATAATATAACGCAGAAATTATCTATTTTCTTAATCAGTTTAATCAAATCAGTATAAAAATCAGTTAGAATCAAACCAATAGTAATTTTAAAGAGCACTTTTTGAGCATTTAGTTCTCATTATTTGATAAGAAGAAATTGTCAGAAAAAAATATATGAATATGAATTTAAAAGAAAAATGAATGCACCATAATTAATTTTATTGAATTATGTCTTATAAAATTTATCAGAATTTTTAATACTTTTGTATCGTGTAAAAACATGAAGAAAAAAATTGCAAATTCTAATGCTATTGAGCCTATGTTTATCTCGTTTTCCAGTGGTGCATAAAGCATTAAATAGATGGCAGCACTACAGGGTTTTTGCTTCGAATTGTATCCTACTAAGAAATTAGAAGCTTTTTTTTTTGACATCAAGAGTCAAATTAGCGCTATCCAGCACATTGGTATATCAACAACTGTTCACGTGTTAATTAAACTTGAAGGCAGTTGTTATTCTAAGTCTTTATTATATTTAAAAAAAAAAAAAAAAAACTAACTCCTTTTTGATTGCAAGCTTTTATAGACATCTTTAGTGCTGCCATCTATACAAATAGACAAGAGACAAAAATATATACGATATCGTGGCGAATTTCTAAATTAAGACAGTAATAAAAGCTTAATCCAAATTTCGCTTAATTTTTACGAAAAGGATCTTCAGCATATGTGACAGTAAAAAAAATTAAAGGTTGGAAATGTTAATCAAAAAAGTGTTTTTGAAAACAACATTTTCAATAATGCTAAAGATTGATTAAACTTTCAAAATTCAAAAGCAAAAAAAAAAAGATTATTGCTATAAATTTCAAAGTATCCTGAGTTTCAAGAATGCTCTTTGGTTCGCTTTTATCCTCGCCCTAAACCATAAATTAAAACTGAAAAACAATTCATTTGAATGTCTTTAACTCGAATTAAGACTTTAATTTATAATTATATGTACAGTATGCAAAAAGAAGTGATTATTCTGAATAAAATTTAATCTAATGATTGAAGCTTCAAGAAGTATCAATAAATATTTACAGAACATTTTTAGAAAAATTCAAACTTCTTCTAAAATACCTAAAATATAAAGTGTATGCAAAACACGCTAAATCAATTTGTGTCTTAAGCACACAAAAAATTTTAACCCATTTTTCACTCCCTAACATGTTTATCACTTTCTATCTTAATCTAGTATATTTTGATATTATTAAATTTTATGTGACTTAATTTCAAAACAATAGGTTTATACCTAGGGAAAATACCAGTTTTCCACATATAAGGTATATTAATTCACATTTCTGAGAGGAAAAAAATATTTTTACATAAAGTCTAAATTCAATCTCTTTTAGTTCTGGAAAATAAGCATGCAGATGAGAATAAAAATAATAAAATAAAATATTTTTCTTTTAGAATGAAAAATTGCAGAAAAAAAATTAAAACCTTGACTGCAGATGCTAAGTCGTTATGATACACAAATGCTTCCATAGATGGCGACACTACTGTCGATTAAAATTAAAAATGTTATTACGACATAGGTAGCCAAATTTCAAAATTATTAGAATAGTGATTAGAAAAAATAAAGGCCATTATATCGAACAGTAAATAAGGTAAGCGTAACTGCATCAGAAAAAAGTAACCAATTCCAAAATTCAGCAAATCCAAGCAATTGAGGGCAACCTTCAGTTTATTGACATTACAACTAGACCCCTTGTTCAATCCCCTGATTTGTTTATAATTCTACAACTTTGTGTGGTGAATATAGATGTTGCTGCAATATATGTGGTCAAATTTCAAAATTATAGTTTGATATTGTTGAGAAAGTATAGCCTATTATCTAGGACAAATTATACACGGCCACACATTAAATAGGCCAAATATTATATAGCTCAAATATTATAAAGGGCCACACATTATACAGGCTATTATATACAGGCATATATTACAGGTCGGTCGCACAAATATATGCAGAACATATTTCCTATCGATTAAAAACTAAAATTTTATCAAACTAAAATTCTTACTAACTAACATTCATTCAATGCTTTTCTCAATAAATAAAAATCATAAATATGATCGTTAATCTGTCTATTCAATAACCTTGACTTGTGTATAGAGTAAAATCTATTTTTAGGTATTCTCTCTACATCTGCCTAACTCATTAGCATGGAATTCGAAAACCGTTACATGGTTTCTAAATGTTTTGATTTTATTAAATTTCTTTACTATTTCTCACACTTTCTTTTCGGCCAGCACATTTGTATGCGTAAGGCTAAGAAAAGGAGCTTAAGCGATAAATAAATAGCCAATACATGAATCCCTTAAACTTTCCTTGGCGAAACTTATTTCCTTGATTTCTTGACAGAAGGAGGTGTGCGGTGGGACTCGACCCTGCAGCCACCATCTTCGTGCCATTTTCAAACTTTATTTGTTTTAGTAATTCATATGTTCATTAAAAATGAAGAATAATTTTAGTTTTTATGAAGCTCCATATTTTCAAAAATTAAAAATATTTATTATATTTGATTCTTCATTAAAGCAGTTTAGGATTTTTAGTATTTGTTTGCCTATATAACTCTAAAGTAGAATAATTAGTAATAAATCATCATTTTCAACAAAAATTTTCTTCACAGGGTCATATAGATAACTATATAATCTTTTGTTGATCCACATTATATAATGATCAATGTTGCCTGCATTGTGGAACACATATTAGAGGGTCTCATATTTTATAGGATCATTTGTTATATAATCCACTAATTATATAAAGCTACATAATCTATCTAGACACATAATCTATCTAGACACATAATAAATAAGGCTACATTTCTAGCAATATAGGTCACATATTGTATAGGGTTATATATTACAGGGCTACATGATATAATCGCTTGCAGTGCAGGAAGAGTGTTATTATATAGGGTCACATATCACATAAGACCACACATTATGTAAGCCACTTGTGTCACATAAACGATAGGGATGATGTCAAATATCCTCAGTTTTTACTCAGAATATCCTTAGATAGAATGCTCTTGCAGTTGGGCTTCGCGTTTAAGTTTTCCTTCTCCGTGTCAAAACGGGTTAGTTTCATCGACAAGTTCTCCACGAAAGTTGATTTTTTCCAATGCTTGATCTAAGGCCATGGTCGCTCGCCATCCAATTAGGTGATCCAGGTTCGAATACCAGCGATGGCTGGTCTAATTCCACACCCGACTAGCACCCACTACTGTGCTGACATAAAATATCCTCAGTGGTCAGATCATGGGTTAGAGTCCCCTTATCGGTAGGGGTAACAGTGGGAGATTTTCGTGGATTCCCTTTCCATGTAGCGCAAATGCGGGTTAGTTCCATCAAAAAGTCTTCTACGAAGGCAAATTTCTCCCGATACTTGATACAAGAGTTCCCTTGTGCTCTGTAATGGATTCAAAAAACCAAGGTAAAGGCGTTGAACATTGGTAGTCTTTAACTCAAAATATGGTTGGCTGTGTACAGACGATTATAAAATGAAATTTTTGATCAGAGAGTTCCTTTGTCTTCTGGGGTGGATTCAAAATTCGAAGTTTATGGTTTTTAAACATTAATGCTCATAGTTCCGAAAATGAGTTAACTGTTCAATTCCGGTTTTAAAATAAAAAATGATATAACCAATATTGTGTGCCACGTATTATATATGCTGTAATACAGGTCCAATTATTATCTGTGTTGTATAGGATCATATATTTTATGACCGTCGTTGAACAGCTGAACCATTTTGGGGTTTACGATTTTTAATATTCAACTCCGTAGCCTTGTAATTTTGAACCCAATCCAGAAGACAAGGGAACTCCTGGATCAAGTATTGGTAGAAATTTGCCCTCGTGGAGGACTTTTTGATGGAACTAACCGCATTTGCGTTACAAGGAAAGGAAGACCATGAGAACCTCCCACAGTTAGCCAGAGGACACGAAGACTCTAACCCATGATCCATCTACCACTGCGGATATTTAACATCAGCACTGTAGTCGGTGCAAGTCGGAT